TGTATGTGAATCACTGCATGTATGGTATATATTCAAGTAGGGACATGAGAGGGTAACAAATCTCCAGACATTACGACAGTAATGGCTCGAAGCTTCATAGCGACTCAATGTCTTAATCAGGCAAAACAGTGAATGAATCCCAATTCTAGGATACGTCGGGCTCTTACAATTTGGGATTGAGGGAAAAGTATTTATAAGCATCTATTAGTTACTTACCCAGGGAAAAAAAACTCTTTTTACCAGCAGCCAACCCGCATTTTCCTTCCCTAATAGGTTTCGTCAGCAAAATATTTATCAACAAATCTATCAGTCTGTCTCATCGTCTTTGGTGCATCAACTGTTGGTAATCCCGTCGCATAATATTCATCGGCACGATATGGCATCTCAAGGAACTATTGGTGATAGGGCCAGGAGGGACGTCATATATCTACTCGATAGATTGCGAAGCTTCCATCAACAAACACAAGCGGAGCAAGTAGATAAGATACGTCGATGTAGATTGTCTAATGTTAGCCCGGAATGCGACCTGCCGTCGATCATCAATCGACAAAATCTTTTTCTGGGGTTATCGCGAGATGAACAGATCCAGTATGCCTGGTATTTGTATGAGTTCCGCTATTCTGTAGGACTCAGAGACTATTGCAATAGAAATGTGCTATTTTTTTCGTTCACTCGTAACCCAATATATCCAGACTACTCGTTGTAGGCAGTTTATGAAAACAGGTACGAACAACTGGTTTCAGTGGTTTGTAGAAAATTATGAACGCTCTACCTCGTATATGACACAAGAAGAATAGTTTATTCTTCAAAATCATTTATTTCAATATCAAAACTTGCGGCCACTACCACAAGACCAACTGGTACAATTTCCGCCCATGCAACAATATCCACTAGGACAAACTCCATTGCCCCGATTGGAGGATCAGTTACAACTATCACAACCAGTGTATCGGCGGTTGTAATGGCCAGCATAGTCATCACCAATACCACCATCATCATAACCACTAGTATGCCATATTATATTGCCCGTTAAGGTTCAAGTTGGCAGGGGTTCTGGATTTGGATAGGTGGTTCTTCGTAGCGCTCCCTTAAGGGAATTTCGATACCTGGAACATGACCTATCAAGAGCACTGGTTAGTCGTATGAGATATATGCCGGTTTTTAGATATGTTATCTCTAATATAGCTTACGTTGATTTATGAAACATGAAGCGAGGATGAGATATTTTGAAAATTGTATTCTTGTACATATTTATCTCGACTCCTTTGCGCTTCCTAGGTAGTGAGACATATAGTTGATCTAAAACGTACCTCGCATATCAGCTTTTGTGATTACGAGATGTTCTTCAACATATAAACTTTATTACTGCATTTAATAACGTAAGATACGAGAGTTGGGCTATTCCAACATCACATGTTGGCGGTTTTCATTTTTTAAACCAACACTAGATATCATGAGACTATTCAAACACCTGCAAAGAAAGCAGCACATAATATCCAGCATTTCTCTAAGTATTACAACCAAAATAATTCAATTGACTCTGTAGCCTGGTTTCTGAGTTAAGAAGCGAGTTTTAGTCTCTTGAATCCATCCTCTTGTTCTAGACCCCTAATAAGTTCAAGTTCATTTAACTATCGATTTTCTAGACGGGAATTACTTCTAATTCGGATAACCATCTGAAGATAAGCCCTGACACGTTGATGTTCCAACACCAGTCACTAAAAACGTATATGACACTAATTAGCTGCAGCGATGTTACATCTTGCTTCAAGAAATGAATAATCCATGAATCACAATATGAAAGGACATACGTCACTTGCAATCACATCTACCTGAGAGGCAAGTGGTTATAAAACGTTAACCATCTTCCGGAAACACTCCTTTGCTACTCCTGAACCAACATTCTTCTCTCCGCAAAGCACACGTCGCATACCGGACTCAAGTATCGATATATATTTCCTGTCTTCCTTACTGAATAAACACCCCGAGGTTTCTACCATACGAATAAAATGGATTGGTATCCAACGCCTACGGCTACATCTCGGGAATACCTCGAACATTTACTTCACAGAATACCACGCTTCCGTCGGAGCACGAGAGCCCAGCAACTAGCTGATTGGCGCCGAGTTATGGAGGAGAGTAGCACGGAGGTAATAAACTTGGAAACGGATTTGGATTTGATATTAAAAGTCCATGCTGATTTCCTAACCCTACCTAGGGATCAACAACTCTGGTATATCGATCAGTTACATGATTTTATCAATACCAACGAAGGCTATAGAACATACGGCAAAGCACCTGCCTGGTGTGTAATCTTTCAACTCCCCTATCTATACAATTTTATACACACCACCAGACCTGGCGGTGCATATACATCAACTAGTCTCGGCAACTGGTTTTCGTGGGCGGAGCACAACGACACTTGGAACTAGCCATTACAGACGCCATAAATGGGGTTGGAAGAGCAAATACTCCAACAGCAGGAGTGGAAGCCATTATCAGAGAAGAGACTCGAGTATCCACCACCTTTCAAATAGTGACTGTGGCTGTAAACAGGATTTTCGCACTTAGAAGTTACTGAAATTACCATAGTTTTGATTATCGCCACCGCAACCGCAGTCTCGTGCCGATGACTATAAGCGTACCTATTTATCGCCATTAGTTATTATAGTAGTGAGCGCTAATACTGTAATATATCGCGGTATCCTGGATTAAACTATACATAAGAAATAATATTTTATAGACCTTTGCTGTTGAGATGTCTTCTAAAACCGAGTGTTAGTAAGGTACATGATTCTGAGTGGAAATTATACACAAATGAAGGTACCGCGTTATTATTAATTAACGTACAGGTATTACCCAGCCGTTCTCCCCTTTCATCGCGGCCTTGAAAATAACTGAGTTGAACGTCACAATTATAGCTAAATTCGTCCCAAAGCTCTTTCCAAGAGATTCCCAAGGATATCGATAACTATTTGTAAATGCCTTTCTCAAAGTAGCTACTCGCGTTGAGGCATGTCTACTAAATGTCAGATGAAGCACAATGGCGTTTTAGTGAGGGTATGAAATTTCAGAATGCACAGTGAGAAAGACCGTGTCAGACCGTTACTCCACATTGGGTTACATATTGGATTGGGTTGATGAGAGGCTCTCATTTTCGAAAGCCATCAATGATTATTCAATGACTTATAGAAACATCTTCATCGTGAAAGTATAGCTGGTATAGCTGGGATATACATACGAATTAGATCTACTCAAATTACGGATTATGTAGAATCACTATTCGTTTGAAGATGCTCGCCCCAGAATTCATTCCTTTCGCAGTGCCTTGGCTTCGGATAGCGTACGATTTCTCCGGATATTTGAATTACTCAGCTTGCCATGGTTGGGTTGTGCACCGTGACGATCACTATTGCCATAGAGGCTACTGTCCACCTAGACGCTATATAAAGGAGGCTCTAGCAAGTAATTGGATGGAGTAAGAGCATGCTGAAGCCGAGGTTAGGAGGTTTGAATTCTCTAGCCGACATGGTATTATTGGGGCAATTCAGTTATTGAGCGGAACAAAGATCAACAATTGGATGGATGATATCTTAGTCCCATCCTCGCCGTAATTTTTGGCTGGAGTCATTAATACTACCAGAAGACAAGACCCTGCAATATCCTGCGAGATTTAGCGAGCATGACAAAAAGAAAGTCGAAAGAGACGTTGCAACGGCTGGGAAAGCAGTTATGGTTATCAAACAATGCATGCCAGGCTCGATGGCCATCGCTTAAATATCACCCTTGCTTAGCGAGTGCTACCGTAGGTAGGCTAGGGAGAATACCGTAGAAGATTGGCTAGACGGCCATGCGATTTTCATCTTTAGATGTATGGATATCTCGTAATCATAAGTATGAACTGAGTAGTTCGCGAGTGGGTTATTGCCGGAAGAGCCTCAACATTTCTTTTTTTCTTATGGTTATTATGTACTCAGTGCTACTTGATCTTAAAAACGTGGAAAGAACCGATTTGTCAAGCTCATGCTGCTTTCTGCAATATGATGGACTGATCCTTTGTCACTCCCGCTTTTCATTTCATTGTTGGTTCCAGCCAACTTACCAGCTGCTGCTAACAAGATAATGAGAGTTGTAGAAAGCCTTATTCTACCACATGCCCCCCACCATACACATCTATGTCGGTGAGGGATCCTCACACACAGGGATATGCGCCGAATTTTTTCCGGCTGCGGGAGACAACAATACCAACAACTATGATAAGCGATTAGTATCTTACTGGAGACAGTTGGTCGACAGTCTGAGCCCTTGTATGCAAGAAATACCACCACGAGGCTATTCAGAGTGCCTAAGGTACCTAGATACTATGCAATCTACAGCAGGACAGCGTGTTTACCAAGCTGAAAAAGAATCGGTGCGGTGCTAACCCGTACGGCTTTCATCTTCAGTAGCGCCTTTCTGCATAGTTAAGCCATATTTATCTTGCTTTTCTTATGGATTTTACAATTAGGCAAATGGAAACTCGGAGATATGCAACGATAGTGTGACGCCGGTTAAGTGATGAAGATTTTCTTTTTGCGAACTTCTCAAACCCAAAGAAGACTTTGTACACCCCAACAGCGTCACCTCATTCTTTCTCTGTCGTATCTATTTATCTTCATAATACTATACCTGCCTTGGTACCTAAATGATGAAACCAAGTAAAGGTTGGTGTGGTTGGGGAGGGATACTTGACTGATCAATCTATGATACTAAGAACAATTGTCACACGGATAACACTTCTAAGAGGGTGTTGGCCGTGTTACAAGATGGCCAACCGGTTGGGATAACTATTATGAGAATCATTGGATGAAATACATCACGAGGACATGCAAGTAGAGTGCAAGACAACCAACATGTATTATAGTACCAAGGTCAGGTCCCAGGATATGTAGTCAAGACTGTCTACAAATAGGTCCTGAGCCCACCCCTTGAATAAGGAAGGGAATCAAGAACCTTGAGACCTTTGAGATTTATCAGTAAATCTAATATACGTTCCAAGCCCATATAGCCCTTGTTACAGCAATATACTTATCAATCTGCCCTAGCTTTAGATTATCCTTGGAAATATCTACGTAAACTACAATCCTACCAACCAGATCTATTTCAACGCAGACATGTCTTCGATATATTCCCCATTATACTCTATTTATGCCACGCTGGTTTGCTTGGCTATCCCATTGGCCTTTGCTATTCGACGTTCCATATCACGTCCCCTATTTCTACAAGCTCACGAACGCAATGGCCATCAAAGAGTTGCAGTCTCAATAAAACTTTCACACGCTACTGAAAGTCCCTTCGATACCGTCACGGACAGAGCCGAGCCTGGAATTTATACGGCAAAGCAGATCGCGGACTTCGTCCTGTCTCTGTCGGAACTCACCGACGAAGAGACCGATAATGCTCAACGTCTGGCTCGCAACCATGGTATCATGGACAATTGGTCGGTCCAGAGGGGTGTCCAGAACTTTGAAGAGATTTATTCGTTCAATTGTGTTCTTGCCATCGCGCACTTCTACAACGTCCTCCCTCGTCTTAAGGACGAGGAAATTTCTAATACTTATGAGAATTGCGTCCGTGCCATCAATTTCCTTACTTATTTCCTTCAAACACAATTGGATAAAACGAGAAGACTGTCAGGCCCGGTGAAATTGTCCAAAGCTGAACGGTTCAAATTGGACCGCGTTTGGGATATCTGTGTTTGTTTACTAGGCGCTATCAAAGCCCGGTCTGGTTTCCAACGGCGAATTCGTGTTGGCGATATACCAATTGTCCATGACACCCACTACCAAAGGGCCGCCAGGCTCGCGTTAGACAGGAACAACCGAAGTGGAAGAGGGCGAATTTGTCAAAAGGCCTTGAAGTTCCTTATACGAGAGGAAATCGAACCTTTCGTCCAACCAATTCGCTTGATCGATGCGCTCCAGTACACAGAGGAAATTCAGGATCCTAACAATAGCTTCAGCCATCAAGCTTGCACAGAGGATAATTGCCAATTCGATATCGTACTCCCGAACAAAGAATATCACATCCCGGGCTGCTCCAGATCGTGCGGGGAGTCAAGGCCTCCACCAAACAGCGAGGATGACTTCATAGCTATATCTAACCGTGGCATGCCTGCGGTGAACATCTCCAATCCAAATAAATGGTGGGTAGAGGCCGGCGACAAGACTCTAGTTGTGTCTCATGTTTGGAGGGATGGCATATGGGGTACAAGAGACCGTGGGATAAACAACTGTGTCCACGACCACCTTGTTAGAATTGCCAGGGAGAACGATTGTACTAGTTATTGGATAGACTGTGCCACAATTCCAGAAGAGGAAGCGACACGAAAGAAGATGATTATGAGAATCAACCAGACATTCATGCAAGCACATCTTGTGCTCTGCTGGGATAGAGGACTCAGCACCTTAGATTCGGATATCGAAACAACCTTATTGTCTCTAATCATCTCCCCTTGGCATCGACGAGCGTGGACCCTCCTTGAAGCCAATAGGGGCCGACAAAATAAGATAACATTTCTCAAATGGACGGGTGAGGATGGTTCGTATTGGACGAGTAAGGGTGATTCATATGAACTATTCCATCTGAGCAAAATGCTTGACGATGTTTTCGATAAACCCCATGTTCCACTATGGATTCGGTCGACATTAGTTGAGCTTCTGCCGTATAGTGATACACCACTGCCAGTGGATGCAGCGGGATTACTGCTATCCGGACGTCATGCTAGTCGACCTGGTGACTCTGAATCAATTTGGGGTCTACTTCGTCCTATTGAAGCAATTGACAGAGCTGACCATTTTGATTATGATGATCCGTACATGTATGCTAAGAAGGTTGACGTTGCATTCATTAGCTCTAACGCGACCCGGTTCAACCCCTATGATGGCCCAGGATCCTGGAGGCCCGGCAGAACCAATGCCAGTTCTTGGGTCCGCACAGCGTATGGTGGTATCAAAGGAGAGGTTATTCACATCAAGCATAAGAAGATTCTAGTGTGTAAGTGGTGGGCAAAGACTCAACGCGAAAATTGGAACTCCATCAACTGGGAATCAGCGAGTCCCGAAGTCAAGCGGCTACAGCATGAGGAAGTCGATCGTTTTGCACTCATCTGCCCAATTTTGAAGGGAGACCCGATAGAAGTTCCCAGGGGAGAATGGGCATCACCACCAGTGAAGGGCTTTTTCCGAACTAGTATTGTCATGGAGTGTAATCGGGCAATCTTGATTACGCAAGGAACGGGTCAAAAGGATGGCGTCTGGCGATGGGAAGGTCTTGTGGAAATGAGGGAGGGACACTCTTTGTTCTTCAAACCAGGAGAGAACGAGGTTTTCAAAATTGGCAGGACTTAAATGTATATTGGCAGTGTTGATAAGGCTTTATGACGTTTGTTGTGCCGTTGGTTTTCATACCTTAGGTAGTTTCTATGTACGAGAATCCAAAACATCATCCAACTGAAGCCTTCTTGAGAAAGATTTGGTGTAATATTGTAAAATAGGCGTCTCACTCCCAAGGTATGCTACTACATGCTTAAATTAGATATAAGAATACGACTCGGTAGTCCGCACAACAGTGTCTCTAAAGCTAAGTAAGTAGCCATGGGAAATGATGTTAATATCATTCTAAATATTTAATTGCGAGGGATTTCTCTACTACCTCTCTATAGCCAGTGCAGAGCCGCTGTCTCTTAGCCAGAATCTTAACAGGTAGCGACGGTCTCTTTCGACTACTTCCTTCACTGTCAGAAAACCCAACCGACCCCGTTGTTATAGGGGTTGGTGGGAGAGAGTTCTGAAGAGAGATAGATGCCAGCAGAAGATCCTCGGAGGGTATAGTGGAGCCTGGCGAGTCTATCCCGGGTTCCCTGACTTCTTCTAAATTGTCCTTGAACGTGGAAAAGTCGAGCGATGATTTATCCTCGACCATAGACAACGGTCTTTCTATAACTGAAGCTATTCCGGTCTGTGGGATATGCGGCTCATCGAAGAGGGTTCCGTACCAAGCCTCTCGGACGGCGAGGCCAAGAGCCACCGATACCTGCCGAGCGACACTGTTGCCGACAATGCGCCATTGAGTAACTGGCGGACCAACAATTAGCTCATCATCAGGGAAGCCCTGCGCGCGCCTGATTTCTAGAACGGTCAGCGGACGGCTTTGTTCCCAGTGATTTATAGTGCCTATGCGAGCATCCGTCGGTGGACATCTTGTAGCGATAGTACCAAATAAGCCGTTTGGATGAATACGGCCCCAGCCCCTAGACGGCCTCATTACCCTGTCTGAAGGCGCAGGAGGATATAGGTGATAGCGATCCGACTCACTCATCACGGGAGGCATATCGGGTCGACCATGCCAGGCTTTGCTGAAGTTCATGCCCCACGGGTGAATGGGAATAAGGGATAGCTGTTTTCTCATAGGAGGCGTAAAGCCAATTGAAAGCCGATGGTCCGGAAAGCCGACACAGAAATCCGGTTTTGCGTCTCGAATATCAGGCAAATCTGCAGTGGACTCCCTAGCATTCACGTATCTAAACGGGGTTGACAATAGTATCCTACTATCGAAGGGTCGCCCGCAAGACATTTCGCCCAGCTTTGTTAGATGCGTACCCGGTGGATGCGAATGCGACGGCGCCGGGACTTTGGGCATTCGGAAACCAGGGGCGCTGAAGACAAGAAATACCCGGCTACGAGACTGCGGCGCACCAAACGACCACGCGTCTAGGAACATAACTTGGACCTGATAACCCAGGCCGACAAGCGCGCAGACAAGTTGGGAGAAGACGCACGTGTCACGGAAATTCCTCGAATTTACCATTTGCGGTACATTCTCCAGGATTCCGTAGTACGGGCGGTACAAGTCAACATAAGATGCGAAAGACGCAACAAGAGACTGGTTTTTTCGTTGGTCATTGGTGGTCCTATCCGGCGTTAACATAGAAAATCCCGGGCAAGGTGAGCCGGCTGAAATGAACTGGACATCTCCAGGCTGAGGCACTTTGCTGTTGTTACCCTGCATTGCTTGAAGTAGGAGGTCATCAACAGATCCCAAAAAGGGGGTGCATGTGTCTGGCTTGCAGTTCGCCATATACGTATGAATAGCCTCATGCCAGATATCGTTAACCCAGCGCATTTCAATAGCGCCGCCGTCTTCCAGGCCGCGCCCGAAATTCCCGCCGCCGCAGAACAGATCAAGACCTTGTAGTTTCTGTGATTTATGTCCCTGAGAGGGGTCGAACCCCATCCGTAAACCGTGCACTAGGTTCATATCGAGGGGAACATAAGCCAATTGGCCCTTTTCAGTCTCGATTTCTTGATGTGTCATAAAGAAGAGGTCGCCAGTCCCATTAAAATCGTAGGGTCTGGGTATGTTTTCCTCGGACCGGAATGCCCTGACTAGGCAATGTCGAAAGATCCTACGAGAAGAAATCTCCACAAGTTGGTTCGTGTAAACGAGTTCATTAGGGGGCGAGTTAGAAGCTACTTTATCGACATCTCTCCTTCGCAGAAGTCTCCTTAATCTAACGTAATGCTTCTTGCCCTCGTCGAAGAATCCTTCCACGATGAATGTCTCTAGCAGCAGTGCTTTCGGGTCGGTTTCAACGAGGACGGCATCTCCAATATTGTAAGATATCTTCTTATGAAACCTATCCTCCTCACACGTAAGGTGTTCTGTCTTCAGAGTAGTCCATCGGCAATCATCAGAGAGATAGGTCTGACGAACGAAGAACTCCGCCGTCGTGGAGGGATTCCCAAACCATTCGACACCATGCGTGGAGAGAATCTGATCTTCTTGTACCCTTGCTGTACCGTGATGACACGTGCAATTGTTCGATAAGAAGAGTTCATTATTCCAGGGATACTTCATGATGCCGCAGGGGGTGTCGATCGGTTGATACAGCCAGATTACATCAAAAGAACACCCCCCTTTTGGCGATCGGTGGATTTTCTGCACTAGACCAAACCACAAATGTTCCCCTTCGCAATGCTTTGATTTTTGTTGCTTCCATTCTGTATCAGTGTTCTCATCATCTGGCCTGGTAGATATGACATCTCCCTCCCTAATCGAAGCAATAAATGAGGCATGATCATACGCGTTCCGCTTGACCGCAGGTAGGCTCGTCTTCTCGTTCGGACGACTGGTCTCTACGAAAGCTGCTCGCTTTCTCTCGATTGAAGCCGACGGGCTTACTTCTTTAAGCACGTTACCAAATGTCATATGAGAGAAAAGATCATGGACGTACGGTGTCACAATTGTCGGAGACACTGGGCCGTTTTTTCTCAGCTTTGCAAAGGGAGGTCTGCAGTCCACTATATTACTATCGTCCGATGTTGCTTGGCCTATCTCGAGATTCGGTTTATACCGGTTTAACGTTTTGATCTCAGCCCAAAATCCATGCCACGAAACAATTTTTGAATCTAAACCATGGGCTTCTTTCCAGATAAATTCCACATTGGCGATGATGGCTCCCCGAAAGTCGCTACTCCGGTTAGCGGCATGCCATCGTTTAAACGCTGCCGATTTCCCATGGTTTTGTAGGGCCCATATGCTGAAGTCCGATTCAAAGTCATACAAAACAGCCCTACGGCCGTTCTGCTTCAAGTAGTCGCAATAGTCAAGCACATGCTTAGTAAGGTCAACGATCCAGAGGAATGGCTGGTGGAATCTTACGTACTCGATTGATGGGGCTCTTAACTTGTAATAAATTTCGTGGTTTCTCTTTTCATTATGTTCCGAGCGTATCCAGATTTGGTCGCCCACGGTAGGTTCCTCGTTCCCATAATTCCCAATAGGGAGTTGCCGGAAGGGTATCTTCTTAAGAAAAAAACGATGTTCGCCACATCCAAGGACTCCATCAAAATAGAAATGATCAGAAAATTGTCGAGTTGCGAGGTGTTGCAGAGACCTCAGCTCATAAGGGTAGAGCTCAGAGTCGAGGTATATGGAAAAACCATGCAGATCGAACTCGACGTAGCCTTCGAGAGGCTGACGAGCCTTTGTGGCTTCAAATAGTATTGTCAATGCGTCTGGTTCCTTAATCGGGGTGGCAGGTGGAATATAACCCTGGAAGAGAGATTTTGGTTGGGTTAAGGTCGACTGGGGAATTTCTACGGTAATAGGTCTCTCTCTGGGCGTATTTGTAATTGGTAAATCCGGAGCTGTTTCCCAGCCTTCGTAAGGGTTTGCCTCCAACTCGCTAGAGGACGTATCTAACCTCGTAGTACCAGCCTGCAGTTGTTGGTATGAATAATTATTGTCGATTTTATCTGATCCGGATCTATGATTGTATGTATTGGATAAGTCGTCTCTCAAGCCACTTGCGTCATCTTCTTCGATGCTTAAGATAACCGCATGATATAAAGGTGGCGCCTGGGGCTTAAGTAACGTTTGACCATGGCCCAAGTCAGGCGTTGAAAATAAATCAGCGGGCTGGTCAGGAACTGTGAGGCGTTGCCAATTGTAAAGGTCTTGCTCGTCTATATCCATTCTTGTTCTAACCTGCAGAGTCTGTGCCTTGACAGCACAATCCGTAAATTTAAATATCGAACGGGATCCATTTACAATGTCATTATACCGAATGACGATATAAATGAAATTGTACCAAAGGGAAAGGGGGTATAAACGTATTAGTATCGGAAGCGCGGGCAAGTCTGCGTATAATTCTGCTGAAACAGGAATATTGAACTAAAAGAAAGGCTCAACATTCCAATAGCCACTATATATGTCTACCAAGAGAAGATAATTAATTAGAAATAGTTCGCATCCGCGAACACCTGAAGAGAAAGCTTGTAATAGTTCTTGGCAACGATCGTGGGTTGAGCCTGCGAAGATAAACGCAAAGTGCTCTATCTAATAGTGAATAAAACGGGTCGAAGGGTATGGGAACCAAGGAAATGGATTTAGATACCATCGAACATCGTGCTAAACTAGGAGAACTAGGAGTATCACACTGGAATGAGGCTACCTTAGACATCTTTGCCGTTTGCAAAATAGCCGCGTACCTTGGACGCGACGAAGAAATGAACATGCACTAGAATTGTTAAATCAGAAGAATTAACCAATTAAACGCAACAGTTACGTGTAGGTGGGTCAGCTTGTTCTTGGCCTTACTGTTTGCGTCAAGCCATATTGGAAGTGTCGTTTGTATGGTCAAATTGATTCACTTTTATAAACTAATTTATATAATCTGTAAATATTTATCGTTACTTTTATAGAACACTTTATTATAATGTAACCTTGTCTTTAAACTTACTGATTTTCAGAGATATTCTTAGTTTCTAGAAAGCTGTTAACTATGTTAACCTATAGACTTATGGGCGACGCTTAAGCCTATCTGATCAGCCCCCGCATACTGTGTAATTCGATTTATATCTATTGTAACCAAGGGCAAGCCCTCATCTTTCTTATAGTTACATCAAAGTGCTTAGATATTTAGTCTGACAACACACCATTACCTACCTAGGTAGGTAGGTACCTAACTTATTATATATTCATTTGCAGATCTAATGTTGTGACCAACGTATTGATTAATATGATGATGATAAGAACGTTAACGTCTATTAGTAGCTATAAACTAGGTAGCTACAACAGGCGCATCTATAGCGCTTTAGACGTTTAGAGTACCTCCTCCTTTATAGAAAGAAATAAAACTAAAGTTTCGCCTGATATAAGAGATCTTCCACTTCCTATCCCCAGCCCTAACCTGCTTATAGCATTATTTTACCTGGTTAGCGCCGGCGCTAAGTAGCCAATTTTTAATTAGGGAAAAACCGTCGAATACGCTTTTTTATAACAGAAATAGAATTACCTTCAACGCTTAACAATATTTAAAGAAAAACCTAAAGTCGAACTATTTAATTTAATTATAGTAGGATTCGAACCTACTTATATTACGGCATATAAGCACAGATCAACACACATCCAGGCGTTAAACCATTACGCCATATGGAACGTGTTAATTAATAGGGCACGCTTCGGAAGCCAAAGACTTCGAGGTGGCGTCTTCACTCTATGTGAAGATCTTCGCAATCTTTGCAGTTGCGGGTGTTGATTTAAGAAGGACTTTATAGACGATGCAAGGGTTATCTTATTTTCTTTCATGGGAATCTGAATATTAGCGAGTCATTTAGGCAATATCGGTCAAGATCCCGGGTGCCATTTTCCCTTCCGGACCCGACCGGAATCCACACCGGTTGACGCTCCACAGCAAATTCATCCGACTGCCTTGGTCGTAAAGGTGAGAGTCAATTGAAAGCAATGATCAATTCATCTAGCTTCATTAAAATACTAGTAGTACTTAGCGTTCCTCATTAGCAAGCTCTAGAAGCACCAATATTTTCATAGCTGTTGGTATCAACTCTAACCCGCTCATTACCGTAAACTCCGGTTTTTGCAAAGCCTGCAAAGCCAACGACGCCAGTTTTTAAACATAATCCCCACCCAGATGATAAACACGAAATAGTTGATTGAACCAGCTCCGAAGATAGTGCGTTTACTATAGTCCCGGGGTGACTGAATCACTACGCACCACCGCGAGGCTTCGCCTTCGCCTTAGCCTTCTCTTTCTTCTCTTCCTTCAGCTTCTTCTTTTTAGCTTCATTCTGCTCCTCGAGTTTTCGCTTGTGCACGGCCTTTTCTTCATCTGTTTTAGGGATCACCTTGAAAAAGCCCTCTAGCCGAGCCTGTTGCGAACTCTTGGTGGCTTTTTCCAATCTTGCACCGCCCGCGCGGACTCTGTCTTCGTTAAAGCCCTTATCGGTTACTAGAAACTTGACCAGTCCTTCAATATCTGGCTTATCCCATTTGAAGTCACAAAGGGGATCATCTGCCTTGCGAACGTCTGGCTCAAAGAACAAAGCTCGCGCATCCTCAAAGGGCCAATCTTCAGGTAGTGTATACTTGGAGTCGCTCTTGATGTATTCAACCACTTTCTCAAGTGTACCGTACTGACGTATCAGCTTCAAAGCAGTGCTAGGTCCGACCTTGGGAATAGGATCAAGATAGTCACAGCCAAGTAAAATGCAGAGATCGACAAACTGTTTCGATTAGTACTTTGCCTAGTATGTGAATGTGGTCGGAGGAAAGGCTTGACTGACTTGTTTGCGATCCATATCCAATCCCTCGAGCACCTTATCAACGTAAATTTCCTGGATTGGCTCTTTTCTCTGCTCACTAAAGGTCAGGTGACGTAGTAAGACTGGGCTATCGAAGCATAGCGTGTCCATATCCTCGCTGGCCGCTGCAAAAACCTTTCCAGCTCTAGCAAGAGCGGCGCACTGTGCTTCGGCTTCAGTTGGCGCAATAATGTAGGGTATACCCATGAACTTCAACAACTGCTGGCACTCGGCATTGTGCTCCTTAGTGACTCGGACTGTTCGGCGAGAGAACTTTTCCACTTCTTCGGCTGTACCAGTTTCTTTGGCCTCTTCCAGTCCCTCTTTGGCCTCAGCCTTACGCTGGAAACGGCGAGCAAGTTCACCCGACTTCAGTTTGGGGGGTGCGCCATCGAATACATAGAGAGGTTTGATGCCGTTATCGACCATTCGTAGAGTTCGATAGAACATTCCCATGAGATGGGAGGTGGTGTCGCCCGATTCGTTCGTCAGTTGCTGGCCATCGGAGCGGACTGCGATCAGGAAGCTGTAGATACTCATGGAACTGATTGTGAATTAGGTTCTGCTTCCCGTATTAGATGAAAATGAAGTTATACATACGCATCCTATCATCTAAGGATTAGCATACCAACAATTAGATGCCTTTCTCAGGGAATACTCACTATAGCAACTTTGCGACCGAATTGACTTTTGATGTCACCCTCTTTAATGGCGGCAGGAGCCTCATCTTTAATGATGGGGAATAGGCCTTTAATACCCATAATTAAGGTATTTCTGAAGCAGCCTGGTGTAAATAGTCGTGAGAAGAATTGAAGACTGGAAAGAAATGAAGGTAGATGGGTATTTTGTTATGCGTGAAAGAAGATGAAGTGGTAAGGAAGATTATAGTGCGTGATGTCACGAGAAATGCGAAACCGACGCGCCCTAAATCAATTAACCTAACTAACTGAAGCTTGACGCGCCTTCTAATCGCGAAAAGTGGGGTAGTTCTGGAAGCAAGAGTGAGTGAGTGAGGTGGTCAGTGCTTGCCTCTTATATTTGTAGCAAACTTTGTTAGGTCGTTGAATGTAACCTAACCTAGGTACCTAGGTAGTTACATTTGCATTAATCAGCATTCATCTTATCATAAGCCAGAAATAGGACGAATGAGATATTCACCATATTTTAAGCATCTCAAGCATCAAGTATTAACTCTTATTAACTCTAAAGCCACGTGGGCACTTATAAGAATATTTCTCAATTTTAAATCCAATTAACTCATATATTCAGTCAACTTATCTCAAATAGTATACTTATATCTTGGACTTTCATCACCTAGTTCGGCGAGTTCGTCTTCGGATAAGTTCTCATGTGCCGGCGCAAGAGGTCCCTCGCTACGCCTCTTGTTCTCTCTAGCGAACCAAAACCACATGAACCCGAAAATGCAAGCGGCCATGCCTACCAAAGATAGAGAGACGGCATTTCCCACGATGTAACGCGGTCCATCGGCACTAGGACTAGAGAGTTGTTAGGCAATAAGTAACTTTAACATGCTGCAAGTTATCAGACTTACTAGATAAATGATGCCATGATGCCAGCAACATTACCCGAAGTGAGTTGCATGCCATTGGCTGTCGTGCGCTTGCCATATCGCGGCGTATTGCTTGGTAGCTAGATTCAAGTTGTTAGCAATCCGAAGTATAATTTGAATCAACACCAAGAACTTACCCAAGCCAGTGGTAAACCAACAGTGACATAAAGTCCAGTAGCAACTAGGAAACAACTTGAAGATTATTAGTTAAACCTCCAAGAACCGAATCGACAACCAGACATACCCAAAATAATGCACCCCGGCTGATGAGTTCGAGAGTAGCACACCATATCCAACAACACTAACGGCACCAAAGGTCACTGTGAAGAGGCCGCGCATCTGCATTCGATCCGACAAAAACGCGATTCCCATGTAAGTCATAGCACCAACGAAATAGCACGGAATAGTGAGCAACTGGATCTCCGCAGCCGACCAATGTCCTAAACCACGGATAATCGTTGGCAAGAACGTAGAGTAGCCTGGATTAACTGCGTTAGGATTGTGTTTATAAAATTTATAAATTCCAAGACCAAAGGCTTACCATATAGTAAAGTGTCCACGCCGAACTGGCCGAGACAGAACATCCAAACCTTCCAATCCTTGAATGCAGCCAACATGTCGTTCTTGCTAAACGTTAGGGCGCTCTCGGTGGACCCGTAGTGGCGGAAGTGTCGCTCGTTGGCTAGTTTCTTCTCCTCGGGGGTCAAGAAGTAGGCATGGTCGATATCGTTAGGGAGGAAGAAGAAGGCAACGACACCTAGGACGATACTCGGGAGACCCTCGATGATAAATATCCATCTCCACCCCCTATACCCAGAAATTCCATCCATCTCGCCAATGCCATAAGCTAACAACCCGCCCAAAGCACCTGCAATAGCGGCGCTAACGAAGAGGTAGCCGACACGAAGAGCGAGCTCTTGCTTCGTGTAGAAGAAGGTCAGATAAACGTTCAGCCCCGGGAATAGCCCAGCCTCGACAACACCAAGGATCACGCGCACAGCAATGAGTGCGCCATAACTGTGAACAAAGCCCGTACACGTCGCAATAATTCCCCAGCCGCAAGCGATGAAGGCGATATATCGAGAAGGCGTCAAGGGTTTCAGTACCAAGTTTGAAGGCACTTCAAAGAATAGGTCTAGAAGACTTGAACAGTTAGAACTGAACGGACTAGAAAGCCCTCTATATCTCAAGACGTTGTAGCTTTCGTTTTAATAAAGAAGGGTGACTAACACGTGACGAAGAAGATAGAGACAGCTACTTGGAACTGATTCCCTACCAGCCCAAGGTCTGCCTCCAAACTGTAAAGACGTGCATTACCAATGTTCACACTGGAGCCGGTTAGAAACTAATCCCTAAGCTAGATGAATGATTGGCGGAGTATATACCGGTCCAAGAAACTAAATGTGTCTGTGCAATCTGATGTTAGTTACCATAATAGCGAATAACAATAACCCAAACAGACCTGAGGATGGGAAGTTCAATAAAATTAGTAGTTAGTTACAGGCATTACTTACAAAGGAGCATAACAAGAGGTATTATGTGTAAATCAAGCTTGCGCAAAAGCTTTTTCTCATCTACAACAAATGTCGGATCTATCGCCGTCTCGGCCACGCCGTCCTGCGCCTTGATATTTGAGTCGGACATATTCGGAATGTCGTCTGCCATCGAGCAATAAGAAACGACGGTTTCGATAGAGTCGTATACCTAGGGCTGAAAAGTAACAATACTCGATAACAATACTCAGCCGGTCCAGTCCAGAGGAAAGTCGGAATAATTGATTGAGTCGATTGAGTCGATTGAGTCTCGAGGTAGATATATCGGATCGGACTGTGACGATATGTTTGAGACCAAAAGGTTCCACCAGAATCGCCTCTTGCGGACTACGAGCTAGTCTTGTTTTACGTCAGTCCTGTCTTATCCACCGTTCCTGGGCGCCTGAGCTAGAGATAAGCTATCTCCTGGTTATCTCATACTAATACTCTCAAGTATCTGACGGCGAGTATGAAGATATCGTATCCATCACGTGTGGTAGAGTAGAATAGAGTAGAGTAAAGTAACAAGAAAGAAAATAACATGGAATACAGCCTTGGGGTCGGTAGGCATGTATATACGTAAACTATCTAGAATTATTAAAGGAAAATGTTACTCTTTACTATTATCGAGCTTCCCGGACCCTTGATTCGGGCTTATTACTTTGCTTACTCCCCAGCAAGCAGGGAAGCTGAGCTGCATCCCAAACCCGAGCCTGCTGATAACTTAGGACCCGAAATCATTAAGCAGGTAAACAACCGAGCTGAACATGGTGTCAGGGAATCAGGTGCAAGACAATGTTGGATATTGGAAATGAGGGTTCCATCCGAGGGCCGGCTCTCACGTAAACCATAACCATCGATTGACTATGCCGGCTCGTGGATTATGACACAAGTGGTGGTAGCCCGGACCAGAGGGAAGAGCCGATAGGATTTTAGGCCCTCGCAAATGCCCCTGTATCTCTGCCAAGACGACCTGAAGACAAGGGCTGAAGCCGGGGTCAGATAAGATAAATGTGAGAAGTGGGGGTTGCACTTCTACGAAAGGTTCCAAGTAAAGCTCAATATCTTTGACCGAACCTACCTAGGTACCTAGATATCGTTTCTTGGATGGGCTGATTATCACGATGACCAAAGTTAACCCCCAAGTATGAGTTATGGAATGGGGAGTCTATCTACCTAACTATGTATTTATTCAAGTCCCTCGAGAAACTTTTAAACCTTTAGGAAGAAGACAAGCTCTCTCCAATGTTAAAATGGGGGTAAGGGGCTGCGGCATCGATTCTATCAGGGGGTATCCTAATCACCGATATTCTCGGCGATAACGCCGTGTAACTAGGTACTTAGGTATAATTTAAATAGATACTAAGTCCGTAAGCCTTCCATAGGGCTGTCGCAGAGGTAGCACAATGGATTTTGGCCCTTATATTAATAATAACATCACCGCTACTAGACGATACGAAGCCTATATATTACGGGAGTAGGTCCGACAAGACATCCCTTCATAGTTTTCCCCTTTTAGCTCGGCGATGGTACGAACAGGACGAAGCGAACCGGCCGGATCCAACAAGGCGTTCGGATCGCGTACTTGAAGAGTATGACGGCTCGGAACCGTGATCTGCCTCCCACGCTCGTCGAGGCTAATGAGATATGGGTGTATTGTTGCCTCGCTAGTTGTAGCGATGCCGCGTGATTGGTCGTCTTTTTTAATACCCTGATCAACTTTGCCTCCAGCCGCTATACGCATAGAACTATCAGAACGAAAACGCATAGGCGTAGGATGAGGGTTTGTTCCGCCGCCACGGATAACTGGGCTCATATAAACCACGGAATTCTAAAACTAGAATTAAATGCATTTAAATTTACGTGTCTTGAATTGCATTCATGCTGTAGGTCTTATTACTAAAGATTTATAAAGGTGTTACTTACTGGTTGAATCCGCGCCTAATAAGTGATTCATCTATATAGATGTTAGCACGAACCCTCAGACAAGTAGTAACGAGTTTACGTACGGTCATCACGTCTTGTTCCACCAAAAGAAATACTTTGTTCGCCAGGCGGGGTTCCCTCTATATTATATATCGCATTCTTAATAGCACTGACCGTAACTGGGGACGAACACATGATCAGAAACGATCTGCCTAACTTTATGAAGTTTCCGGAAGCCGATGGCGTGATCTCAAATTATAGGCCGCCGATGGTATCTTCCCCAGTAAACTGTGACTCGACACTGTAGCCTTGTCCCGTTGGCATGGCGATCAACTGTCTTACAACACCGGGAGACGTGGCAATACCGTCGAGCCAAATCTGTGGAGGGGCTACAACGTAGTCTTGAATCTTGCCCCTGGATGCCAATCGACGACGATCTTTAGTCCCATTATCATCAGCGGCATGTTCACCGGAAACGACATTCACGCCATCAGCGTAGATTTTTATCATGAAAGGCCAATCCGCGTTGAAATCAACCCACATGGCTTCTCTTTGGTACATGGACAGAAACAACCCGCCCTTAGCTACCATGCTTGGGGGAAGCTTATGGGCATGATCACGGATTCCAAATAGAGAAAAAGTGCCTAGATCAGGTGGTAGTTTAACTGACTTATGATTTTCGGGAACGCGAATGGTCCGATGGAACGTGATGCGAAGGCATTGGGGATGGAACGGACTGTCGGCGTGAGGCACAAATTTCACCTTAATTGCGTTATCCTGGAGGCTGCAATGGTATTTCTCATCCAAGTCCATCATTTTGCTTTGTTTCAAATAGTATATTAATCGATAGCCTGCTGCTTTCTTGAAGAGAAGTGCCAGAGATCACACTTGATGTTATATTACCCACGGAGTGACGGGTACGTAGCTGGTATATAGCCCAAGCATGCAGGATATTGAAAGACATTTTAACTCTAACTAGCTTCTATATAAATCAGAGGGAACTTCAGTTCCCTATATATATTCCTACCCTGTATCTAGCCGGTCGGTAGTAAGGTTTAATGTAAATTCATACTACGTCACTTAACTTTCCCTAACCCCTATATCGTGACAAGAGGAGTCTACCTATCTAAAATATGGTTCATAGTAAAATTGAAGATATAAAACCATCAAAATTTCTAACTACCCAAGTTTAGAAAGGGAAATCATAGACGCTCCCATAATGTCAAAAAAGAAAAAGGAAAAATGAAGATATATCACGAAGAAGATCTAGAAGGTATGGAACTTACGAAGTTGTTCGGCGGGAAATTTCAAACCCAAATGACGCAAGCTTGATGTTACCACCTTCTGAAAGTATCCTTTGTCCCAGGTGGCTTTTCTAGAATCTTAGCAGCATCAGCCTAACCGGTCTCAACCTACTAGCAGACCTAACTGTTGCATCTTAAAAAGTATAAATTTCCTATGCTTATGTTTTCTTGGATCTCCTTTATTAATTATGAATGAGCTACGCTCTCTTACATTGACTGTTACATACTATAAAGTAGATGTTTCTACCGGTAATTGCATTGGGATCGGCGTTTGTTGATGTTTCATTTTTAATAATGACGTCCTTCATTTGCACTCATGCCTACGTGAGACGGTAGAGATATTCCCAAGGCTGTGTAAAGGAATAGATATAATTACATACCTAGGTGTACATATATAGATAAACATAAGAACCCTACAAAATTAATACCTATTATTTTCTATAGAAGGTACTAAATGATATGATTGATCGACTCCAGACGCCATGTCTATGCTCAAGGTATCAATCTATCTAGAAACATGATACTCTCCCACATTTATCGGCAAGTGTATCCACCATCGATAACAATATCAGCGCCGGTCGTGTACGTGCTAGCGTCGCTAATCAAGTACACATAGGCCGCCTTCAACTCTTTCGCCAGGCCAGGACGGCCCATGGGAACCATGGAGTACCACAATTCCTGTGTCTTCTTCTCAATGAAGTCCGACAGGCCGGTATCGATGTATCCGGGCGAGATGGAGTTGACCCGAGCGAAGTCGCGCCATTCGTTAGCCAGGGATCGGGCCATGTGGATGCAGCCGGCCTTGGCGACGTTGTAGGAGGTCTGCTCCTGCGGGAAGTTGGCGATGTGGCCGGACATAGAGGCGGTGATGATGAAGGAGCCGTGGCCCTGCTTCTTGAAGTGAGGACCGACGGCCTTGGCGCAGTATGCTGTTCCGTTCAGGTCGACCTGAATGACCTTGTCCCAATCCTCTCTCGAGGCATCAATGACGCCGCCATCAGCGGTAGCACCGGCATTGGCGATAAAGCCGTCGATATGGCCGAAGTCCTTCACAACGTCGCGGACGAGCTGCTCGCAGTTGGCGAATTCAGCTATGTCGCATTGGTAAGCCTTGACTTTGACTCCATAGGCCTTGGTTAACTCCTCCACGTTCTTGTCAGCTCCCTCCTTGCGCGAGGAGTACGTGATAGCAAGTTCAGCTCCCATCTCAGCGCAGCCACGAGCGGCTTCAATGCCCATTCCTCGAGGGCCGGAGGCACCAGTGATAACGATGACCTTGCCCTTGAGGCTAAAGAGGTCGATTAAGCTGTCCGACTTGGGGATTGGCTGAGGCATGTTTACGGTGGAATATGTTAGATGTTTAAAGGGGGTGCTAGTATAGCGGAATAATGTGTATGAGGAGAAGAGACCGAGAAGCTCTAAATAGTGGAATGAAGTTAGAGGAGTAGAAGCACTACCAAGATTATCTGGACTCTTATATATTCTCGAGTAACAACATGTCTGGTAGGAGTAAGGTGGGTATAAGTGGGTATAAGTGGATATGGTATACTAAAGTCAAGTCCGTCAGAAATGTTAGATGATGTCATAATATCATTCATGCCCAGATATGACAAATTTAAGCCACTTAGATTGAAGGAGGCGGGTATACTTTTCCCGGGTTCATACTCAGCGTAATGCATATGTTGATCTCATTAGACAGGGGATAATGTGGCGTGAGTAAGTAAAAAAGCATCAAAATTGGGCCTTGTGTCTCCCGAGTTTTACGGCGACTGCCGCGGTCGGGAGCTCGAAGGACCCGGATGACCTTTCCTGTGCAATTTGGTGTGTAAGCCTCGACTGCCGAGTTACTAATGGTCTTTCCTTTCCCGGTAGATGCGGCTTCTGATTGTGACATCGAAGCTTCAGACTTACATAAAGCATGTAACTTCCAAAGTTTGCCTAGGTCCTAGGTACATGCATCGGCCAACTTCGGCACGATCACCGTTGTCACCCCACAGGGGAGCAGCGCAGGGGCCGATTATCTCCCCCACGTCCCCGGATATACTTAACCCCAAATTGCCGCACCGGTGCCGGTTCAAAAATACCTGCACGCTAATTATGGCAACTCCGAAGTTCGACGTCCTCCGATCAGCGAGGGGGGTTTGTCATCATACCAGTATGAATTATTGTTCCCCTAGTTATAATTGCACTTCATATTGAGATGGTTCTCAGCTTGAGCATGCCTGGCGCTCATCCCCTATATCCCTATATCCCTATATCCCTACATCCGCCTCAACCTCTCCTAGTCGTGCTCCGGTTATCTGCTCGTGAAATGCCAACTACAGGAGCTGTCTGCTTATCTGGCCTGGCTGAGCTTTCACTCGTTGTGGTTCCAGTAAGCGCAGTTGAAGAAGTGGCAGCAGTTGGAGTAGTATGAATAGTCGAACTCTCGCCCGTTTCGTGTCTTGTAGTAACGCGAAAAGCCGACCTACGTGGGTGTGACACGACAGAGGCCGCAAGTCGTTCCTGGTGGGTAGCAATGTGTTTCATAAACTGTATCCTTGCCACCAGCAGTTTTCCATCTGTTATAACTACAGACTTGTCCTCTGTGTGTGCCTTAGATCTGAGTGATTTAGCCCATTCAAAACAGAAGGGACAATCGCGGGCTTCAAAGTAAGTTGGCACTACTCGCCCTGTGTCGACGAGTGCTTTAATCTGCTCAGTCTGGAATGCACCATGGACAGAACTAATATGGGATTCGGCAATGGCCCTGCTGCCAATATACTCGCCACATAATACGCAAGTATATCTGGACCGATGAAATAGTAACTCATGATCAACCCATGCATCACGGCTACTAAACATCTTACCCATGCATTCTGATTCTGCCGCAGTGCATACATATGCCCTAAGGTCGCTAAGCGCATGGAACCTATGGCATATTAGATTCGGCTTATGAAAAGAACTAAACCACTTGTAACTTACACCCAATCCCCCTCGCTCTGAAAAGACTGGCTGATAGCGCATATGGGACACTCAAACGGCATTCCATCTAAAGCCAGTACCTTCAAACTTGGTAATCCAAGACTTGCCGCAGATTCTACATCCATAGGTGTATCTGTTGACGATGTTTCGGCTCTTTCTTGTACTGCATTGGGTTTTAGCCGCGTTCATTCAACAGGAAATCTGGCTTTACCTGGTGTGTTTTTTCTATACACTTCTGATTGTGCTTTACGATCATGCCAGTATACTATTTGTCGCCTCCTTCTTGCATTGGCAGTCCCTAATCGTTCAGCTAACCATCTTGTCTTTTCTAGACTTAGCAACTTATATTGTTGTTGGACACATGTCGTTTCATTTGATGCCTCTACGACATCCCATTCCTGGAAGCCCAGTAGGGACTGACTCTTGTGAATCTCCTCTTGGACTAGATCGCTCATTCTGAATAGCGATCTGACGCATAGAGATACAACTTCAATCATAGTCTGAGTCTCTTCATAAGCTGAATGATGATCAAGCGCCGGTTTCAGCTCGCCTTGCAGATTCCCCGCAGTCATATCAGTTTGGTCAAGCCGATTAACAGGTAGTTTATCTCTCCCTAAGGGGTCTGTGAGATATTGCTGGTGAGGGTAGGTGTACATATATCATACATTCATTAATAGCGTTAAGAATGTCGTCCAGGAAGTCATACATCTGGTCTCGGGCTTCTGGAATAATAGAGAGAAGACGTTCAAGCGAAAACTGGTCCGTTGGCGGATAAAGAACACCTAGATTTCCAGCCCACAGTAAGTATCGGTCCAAGATATCATCAACAGCATTCGGTTGTGTAAGTAGCCGATCGCTCTGGGTCTCATTTTCGACTTCATCTTTCAAAATTTCTAGTCTTTGCTTCACATCGCAGCACCGTTCAAAGATACTTGCGCGGTGCGTAGGGAGTGCCATTTTTTGCTAAGACCTATCAACACGAGAATTTGTAGAAAGATGTATTAGCATCATCAAATTTCCTGGCGTGAGTTTCTTGGATATCTGACCGCCATTGTAGAATTAAAGAAACATGATTGGGCCATGTATTTACTTTTAAATTACTCCGAGGGAGCACAAACACAATCTGCATCCGAAACCCCTCATCTTTCGGTACGCTGGGATCTCCTCCCTTTATCTTCTTCAAGCATCTAACCTAGAGAAAATTATTCCCTAATGTCTACCTTCGAAGTCGTTGGACTTGTTTTGGGTGCTTTCTCGGGGGCAATTGAAGCCTGCAGGTTGTTACGAGAGGCCTACAGGCGTATCCAGATTGCCCGCAGAATTCGCATTGAATATACAGATTGTGAACAAACCCTGAAATGCCAGAAGGCAGCATTCCTAGGACGTCTCAGACGACTATTGCTACCCCTACCTAGAGATGATATACAAATAAATGACCTATTATCGGATCCTGGAGGGAGTATTTGGAAAGACAGGACAGTTGCAGACCACATCGAAAGTCGCTTGGGTAAGGAAAAATATGAGCTAGTTATGCACCATATTCAAAAGTTCCACTATGTTATAGAAATACTCAGGGAGATACTAAGATTAGACTCGGCATCATTACATGATTATCTCATAAACCGCGTATGTTATGGGAAATTTTCGTAAAGGCTTGCTGCTGATAACTTTTATTAGAACTCTTCGGCTCCGTATTTATCTAGAGAGTGGATCGATGCACAGATATATACGGTTAGCTTTTGCAATGGAGGAACTTCCCGAGCAGAACTATTTGAGGAGCTTGAACAGCTCAATACTCGGTTAGGGGAACTGTTAAGCGAAATAGACGTTGAGACAGAGTATGAGCGACTACTAACTAATAACCCGGACATATGCGGGTTTTGGGTAAATGCAGATACGCTCTTCAAGACCATCACGTTGGTATGGGATGAGTGCTGCAAAAAGGAGCATCTAGCCAGGTTATTACTGCAGCACAGAACTAGCCAGGATACCGATTTCAGTATGTTTTTCATTAAGCAGTCACCTTCATCTTGGCTATCGCAAGAAGCTCGAATCACGCACAATAGACGTAAAATACAACAACAGTATGTTATCGCCATGTGCTCAATTTATACGAACTAATATGGTGACAGGCATGATACAGCACCTGTAGTTAATAGATCATCGAATGTCTCGTTCAGTCGTGACAACCTAATTTCCTGTATCTGTACTTCGCTCAGGCACGAGAACAGCGAGTATTGTGGTTATCTTGCAAGCAAAAACGGCCCGTACTACATGTATAAGGAATCACAGCGTCAAGGACAAGATCTCAAAAATATGACCATAGACGATATCCTTCGCAGAGGAGCGGGACCAACGCCCAGTCGGCGACAACGATACGTCCTTTCTCTTGTATTAGCATCTTCCTTTGTCCAGCTACATGAGACGCCGTGGCTTCCAGCGTCCTGGAAAAAATCAGATATCGTTTTCATCGCTGATGAGAACTCCGGTGTGGGTTTCCTAGATCAACCTTGTCTGGAACGCGAGCTCGTGGCCACCGCTCCGGCTAAGGGTAAGGAATACCATCAAATGTCTTCGCTGGCCGCAACTGGTAATGGGAAAGTTGAAAAGGCATACCGGTCTTTGGAGCTTCTAGGCATAGTCCTTTTAGAGCTATGCTTTGGCCAACTTCTTGAAGAACAGAAATTTCGTCAGGCATATGAAACCCCTGGACTCACTGAAATACAGAAGTATGCATTTGATGCTGCTGCCGCCCGGCAGTGGAGCAGTCAAGTGAAGGACGAGGCAGGGCCTGATTTTAATGAGGCAGTCAGATGGTGTCTCGATGGGTGCCGCATTACCCCGCCGGAGGATTTGAGACGAGAAATGTTACGACGGGTCATCTGGCCTCTTGAAAGATGCCACAAGTATCTTTTCGAGAGACAGCAAGTGTGAGGGAAAACATAGCCTTCTACATGGCTACTAATACATGTACAGGAGAAATCAGAAATCTACCTTGGTTCATATAAAAAGCCTGACTACCTAGGTACCTAACTTAAGGCATACAGAACACTAGGTCATCTTGGGCCAGTACGGGATTTCATTAAACTCTTGTGTAATTTAATACATTTATTCAGAGGTTTCGCCCTATCTATCAAGGATATATATCTCACTAACTCCGGAACACAAAGTGGAAAAAGGCTCTTTGCAACATAAGAGTATCATACGGGGGTTCTAACAGTGCCATCTGATCTTCAAGGTTATATATTCTACTTAGTATGTGAATAATAATAAACCAGGATGGTTCGTGTAATGATATTTGAGTCAATATGGAGAAGCTAGATAATGTGAGCGACTGTAGTAACATGTGCTAATAATACATGCACATAAAAACAACCATTCTTACTTTATTCCTTAATGCATACATTCATTTGTGCACATTCGGTGGTATCGAAATCCCGTCCCGCACTACAATGTACACCCCGTTTGAATGTTGTTGTCCTAGGACCAACATAACACAGCCCTGTTTCTTTACACCCTCTTCATTGCCAACTCAGCCTCTACTGAGTACAAACACTTTTCATACTTTAAAGGTATATTAATACTCCCTATTATCCCCTTAATCAAGTTGCTCTTACACTTAAATGAGCCGTGAATGAGGATGTTTGCTGAGTCTCATATTGACGACTTCTAGGATCTTCCCCATATAATTATAGCTTCTCAGCAAGGCAACAACAGGTCAAGATGGATTCTAATTACGAAATGCCTTCTACCTATTTCATTCATTCCCTCTCTGACGAATCCCAACCAAAAACAAATGAGGAAGCATATACCTGGTTTCCTACGATGGACTTTGGCGGCGTATGGCCCTTGGATCATTGTGACTTGGTTGCTTTCAACGCCTGTATGTACTACTTTACATTTTTATTTGCTAGTTCTTTAGGTTATTTAGGTAGCCTAGGCTAAGAGCCTTACGCTGATCTAATTTTACAGTGCTTCTCTCTGAAGGAACCTGGCAGACGACTCCGAGGCTTACCATAGCGACCAATTTATACCGCATCTTCGCCACATGTGAACTCTTATATCCCAAGTTCAAAGAGGGTCCACTCAAGAAGAGTGAAGTGCGAGACTTCTTCTCCCTTGTCTATGCTCATCTAAGCGACCACTGCCTCGCCCATGACCACTTGGAGGAAGACGGTCCCCGACGCGTAGCCAACCTTGTGGAGTACTTTATTCATGCGTCTAGAAACTACAATCCTAGAAAATACATGATCGACTTAGATATGGTTCCGCTTAACGAGATAATACGCCGGTTTACTTTGATGTCGAGTTTTCCTGAGCGCACATGGTTCTATTAATAGACTTGTACATTGTAAGGGTTAATTGGGTAAGGATTGGAAGACTTGCAGAATAGTTAGATTTCAGTTACGGCAGACCGAGTCGAGAAATTTATGAATTTAAATGCTTCCCAAAGGAACAGCTTCGCATACTCATAAATATTCTTTGGTCCCACAAGGAATCCTTCAAGTGACAAACTAGTATCATGATTCTATCGAAGACTCCTTTAACCAATATTCTTCCCGGGGGGTGAACCAAATGATGGTAAATTTCAGTGACCATAAACCGATTGCATAGTTGAGCCTTAGTAATAACAACTATTGTAGGAATGACTTGCTAGAAATTGGATAAGAGAGAGGGTTGTCACGAAACCGAAGACGGTGAAGTCACATGGACTAAGAATAGTGTTTGCCATATCATCAAACGATTTCAAGTATCGAAATATACTCACTGAAATGAAAGGAAACGACGACGACGATGTAAAATTTAAGCCATACAGAGAGAAGACATATACAGAAAGGGAACAAGGGGTCTGTTAAATCACGTGATACCTTTCGGCGCCCCTGATGGGCTTCCACATTTGCAACTTTACGTTGGTCTATCTATTTTAATATGGCAGCGTCAATATATGATGCCTGATATAACTTCCATCTATATCCAGTTTCATATTTACAGGTAACACCGTGGCTCTGCAACTATAATTTCCTTATTTTCACTGCAACCTCACTTCTCCTTTACATTTCGTGATTTCATTCTACTCATCCAAGAATCCTCTATATAGCTAATACATCTCTTACCGACCACTTATACGGAATTTACAAAGGTCCGAGAGCCAAAGAGAAGAGAGCATATTTCGCATTACTTTTTTCCATCCCCCCTTTTTTCATAATACTTATAATACCTTAGGTGCCTAAATACAAAATGTAATATAGATGGGATATGCAAATAGGTCCAATCAAACAAGAGATACCGATTTAATTTTCATTTTAGAGCTGCCGTTTCAGCTTACGCCTTTGTGTTTTATTTCCCTTAAACCTACATTTAAAACGTGCTATGGCATCTGGCATCTCCGGCCTTTGACTTCGTCATCGTGGGCGGAGGCCTGGCAGGCCTTGTAATAGGTGCCCGTCTTTCGGAGGACCCGGATACTTCTGTCTTGATAGTTGAGTCCGGCCGAGATCTTAGAGACGACCCTAGGGTTAATATTCCCGCCATGTGGCCGTCACTAATAAACGACCCCAACGCTTCTTGGCAATTCAAGACAGTTCCTCAAGTATATGCACAACACCAATACTAACTGAGTTCGTCAACACAGACTTGCTGATATCATGCCCACTAGGAAGGCCTAGGAGGCCGCAAGATCAGGTTTGCACAGGGCTATCTTCTCGGAGGTTCCAGCGCCTTAAATGGACTTTCATTCAGCGCCACCTCTAAGGTTAACATCGATTCGTGGAAAGCCCTCGGAAATCCAGGCTGGAACTGGGGAAACTTTTCGAAAGCGACGGCAAAATCGTATCCTTCTACCAAGCAGAGATGTTACTCGGGTAATGCGTACCTCAACGCAGCGATAGACCGGCCAAGCTTCACTTTATGGACACAGACATCGGTGAGCAGAATACTGTTTAATAACCTCGAGACCGATGGCACGCCCGATAATACAGTTGCAACTGGCATCGAGTATACCACCAACAATGGTGAAATAAACATTGTACAAGCTCGCAAAGAGGTGATACTCACAGCCGGAGCAATCAACTCGCCCAGGATCCTTGAGCTCTCAGGGGTCGGTAACAAGGCCCGTCTCGACGCATTAGGCATCCACACCGTCATACACAACCCGTTCGTTGGCGAGAATCTCCAGAACCACCCTATGGTTGGCTTGAGTTTCGAAGTCCGAGGGGGCGAAAAGGGATTCGAGACGATGGAAAAGCTCTCGCGAGGAGATCCCGATACCGTCGCCGCAGCTATGGATAATTATATGTAAATCGAGGCAAACCGGACCATTCTCCAGCAGCGGTGCTAATCATGCGGCACAGCTCCCATTTCCTGGGATTGCAAGCGAGGATGGCAGACGGAGACTCCGAAGTATTCTTCAGGTTGCAACAACCCCTTACGTCGATGGCGAGAAGACAACGGAGGTATTCGCAGAGGCACATGAATCATTCGTACATTCAGTCCTTAAATCCCCCACAGAAGCTTCCGCCAGCTATCTCTCGGCCGCCGTCTTCACCACATTCAACAGCGACGGATCACGAGCATCTGCACTTCAACTCGACGGCGACGAGCAATACTTCACCATCGTGATTCTCCTCGCCCACCCTTTATCCCGCGGCTCCGTCCACATCACACTTACATCCACACCTACATCTACATCTACATCCACCCAGTCCCACAACCTCTCAATCGACCCCAAATACCTCACCCACCCGCTCGACATCGAAGTCCTAGCAAACCACCTCCAATACGCAGCCGAGGCCATAGCAGCCACGGATCCATTAGCCAGGCACTTGAAACCCGGCGGGAAACGTAATCCGACCGCACCGCAGACGGCAAGTTTCGCGAACCTGGAGAAACGCCAGAAAGTATGCGCGTGAGATGGCTGTAGGCGCCATGCACTTCACAGGCACCTGTTCCATGACGCCCCAAAACATGGGCGGTGTAGTCGATCCCCAACTGCGGCTTTACGGTTGTCGAAACCTAAGAGTCTGCGACGCCAGCGTCATACCCATCACCCCGCGGACAAGCCCACAGGCTACGGTTTACGGGGTCGCGGAGATGGCGGCTGAGATAGTTAAGTCTGGCGTGTGAGCAAATGGATGGTGATAATAGGATTTGGGTAACGGGATTATAAGGGCTTTGGACAACTGGAATATCTGGTATTGATGGATCGAACTCCAGGTAAAAATTATATTACAATAAACAGATCACAACCCCCAATAGATGGAGCAACTCCCTTTCATTTCTATAAACCTTCTAAAGAAATACTAAGCATTCACCGACGGCGGACGAACGCGTCAGAGCCGTCGAGGTCTATGGTATTATACATATTGAATCCCAACACGCGGGAGAAAAAACACCCGACGACAAAAAATAAGTAATAGGCGAATTGAAACAGCAGGCTCGTCAGATTCATGCAGTTTATGCAATGGTGGTATCATGTCTTTCTGTACAAACACAATGATATGCTCAGAAGCAAACAAAGGAAATAGGGGGGAAGGATCGCTCTCCCGTGCTCAAAAAAGGAAGTCCACCAGATGTAGAAAGGCTAATCAGTTGACGTTTTTTTCGCCTGAAACAGTGATAATAGCATGAAAAGACCGGCCCTAGTTTCTTAGTCTATAGACCATCACTTCAGCAAGGCTGACGATGGTTGCTCGGCTTGTTCGTATTCCTCTTCTGCTTCGAGCCCTCATTTTCGATATCGACCCAAAGTTGGATTTCTCATTAGGTCTCTCGTCCTTCCAATATTACTTTGCTTCTGGTCTTCGATATTCATGTTTCCAGTAAATTTGGTTAGCAATCCTCTGGCGCCCAACACCAAAACGCCAACACACACCCAACATTCTTCGACATCCCAGATTTTTACCTGGGAACTGGCGGTAAGGTTTTCCCAAGGCTTTCGCGACTGATCTTGCTCCTTAGAAACCTAAATCCACCACTTACGCCGCCCCTCTTTCGCTCGTCCTCGTATCCGGGTTCAGGCTCCAAGTAACTAGTCTTCGGCGGTGTTGGTGGGCCCCTACCTCCAATACCATGAGGACCCAAAGTAGTAAATCCATCTTGCCTCTCCGTTATCGATGGCGTGTAGGGTCGGGATTCACTAGCGCTATCGCCCCGACTCCGCTCCCCAACCGAGCCTGCTTCCGCCGTCTCCTCAACAACAGGTAGAACAGCATGCGAGCTGGATCTCGCTCCTGATGATACAGCAGTTGTAATTTTACGTTCCGGGACTTGTTCCTCTTTAGCAACATCCTTTTCATTCTTTGTAGCGCTTTTCAGGGCCTTTTCTATGGTAGGATTTGGCTCGGGCGAATTCGGGCTTCTCATACCTGGCGGTGCTGGAGGTAAATATGACGGTGCAGGCGGTGCGCTACTGGATCCAGGTACCTGTAAGGCTTCTTGTTTGGTGCGCTCCATTTCAGCTGCAGCAAGCGCTGCGGCAGCTTCGCGATCATGCGCATCCCTTGCGGCCTCTTCTGGAGACATTGTGATACCAGACATAAACTTGATGAACCGCTCGCCATACTCCTCGGGCGGGAGAGCAGAGATTTGGGTACGATCACTGGATAGGCCTTTCCAAAAGTGCTCTATCTTCTTGATAACTCCGTACTGTAGAGAAGTTAGTTATGAATTACAAGAGCGTGGTAATAAATATGGATGAGCATTGCAACTCACATGGGTCAAGCAGTCGATGACTCCAAGGTAGTAAACTTCTTCGCCCGCAGTGTTGTCTTCGTGTGTTGCCCGTAAACCACCATCATCGCTGTAGAACATTCCACCTCGAGTATGCCCCTCAGCTAGCTCGTCTGGCATTCTACTGCTGGTTTGGCCTACGGGTACGGGCCGCTCAGCCTTAATCATTTGCCGTAGCTCTCTCGCTTTGCGTGCGTTTTCCAGCTTCGATGGCGTTCTCATGAGGACCGAGCTAGGATCAAATCCTTCATCCGAAGGGCTATCCCCACCAGGATTAAATACCTGTAGAGTTTTATCTCTAAGGTTTTCCTCATTTCCCTTTCGCAAATCGTGGATGCCTATTAAAAGCGAATAATCCATTATCTTCAGCTTTTGCAGGAGCCGGACGTCACGCTCCAACTGTTGCAAGAACAGCTGCTTCTTCTGTATTCCTAGCTCGAGGTGCCGTTTCCGTCGAAGCCAGTTCAGGTCCTTCAATGTGGCGCGTGGATTTTTCTCGAGCTCTTCCTCTCGATAATCTCGTCCTACAGTCGAACCCTTGAGGTCAAACGTAGTGTGAATGTCGCGGTGAGGAGGGAAGAGATTGTTCATGACAACAAAGTGAATCTTTTTCCCATATGGCATCTTGACGCGGTGCAAGCCATAGAACTGAGATAAGAGGGTGTTCGGGTTCTCTGTAACATGCTCATAGTAATCTTTCAACACCTTCCGTAGAAATTTATGCTCTCCATGGTGGATAGTCTTGATGATATACTTGTAGTCTCTTGAGAAATAAAAGAAACTGCCACTCTTTCCCGGAGAACCGAGTTCGGATAGTATATATTTACCTGTCAGCGACATCAGATAATCGGCGGGGTCCAACCTAAAGAGCGCACGAAGATGTCGGAAAACCCAGGGCGCATAATCCTTAAACTTAAAGTCGTATTTTGCCGAGGGAACCAACTCGTTACCCGCACTGCTCTAGTTAGTATAAGGAACACAAGCTTAACTTTGGCGGAAACATACATGTCGAACGTCGATTTCTGCTTAGTTTCAAAGTCGGCATCGGTCAAGGGGCGGTCGAGTTTGGCGTTTGTACGCGAGACAGACACTCGAATACCAGTTAACATATTGTATGCTGTTGTCCAATTTGCGTGGTTCTCGTCGACCTTGGTTCCAACCAGAACTCTGTCATCGTCCTCTTCTTGCTTCTTTTTCTTTGCCCGTTTCTGTCGGTATGCTTCAGCCCACCTCAACGCGTCGTCATCTGGTAGTATTTCGTCGCGAGGCAGATCGGAGTGCAGGGAGCGCGTATTCCGTCTTCCCAAATTAAGAGACCCTCGACGCTGCGATGACCCAGCAGCAGTAGGAGAAAATCTGCCAGTAGCATATACCGTATCGCTACTATCCCTCGAACCTCGGCTTGGTTGAGGCCTAGGTACCTCCAACGTGTGTCGATGTTTTAGACCAGTCGCAGGCGGTTGCAGTGCCGAAGTCGATGCGGAGGCACCAATCGGCGGATAATGCGGAGGTGAAGAAAATCTCTGAGGCGACGGAGAAGTGCGTTGAGCTTGATCGAGATTAGAAAACGAAGGGTTAGGTAGCAAATAATTCGAAGCCGAATTCTCCAGTGATGTAGAACCAGTATTGTTGCCGTAGACACCGTCCGTGCTTTGAAATTCACCGTTGTTTGACGACCTCCGTGGCAGTTCGGTGGGATATTGTGAAGAAGTGCGAGATTCCACCGAAGACCGCTTTACTTGGGATTCGGACATATTTTTACGCTGGTTTTCAGAGGCCGGCGACATGCCATTAGTAGTAGGTTGGCGCTCTGACGAGCTCCTTCCAGACAAAGGTCCTTTCATGTTTGAATAATACTTGGAGTCTTGGCCAGCCGAAGCCACACCGTTCATGTCTCTACCTGATCTGCCATTGGGCAGAGGTGTCATGCTGGAAGGGGGTAGCCCATCCGCGTTCATTCGTACCTGCGGGCCAGAGCTGTATGACGAATGAGAAGATGAATTGTCGTCGAAGCTCTCATTCGTGTCAATTGCCGTAGACAACGGTCTCGGATGAAAAGCTTCCTTAGGATCAGTCAACTTGTGGAAATCGGGTTCGTGATTGTTTCTGAGATGGACGACGCCGGAGCTTTGATAATAAATGGGCGAGTTTTCGTCGTTTACGAACGTAGGCATATTTCGCATCCGCAGATTGGGTGTCGTTCGAGTGGGATTCCGAACCGATGCACCTGAAACCCTCACCCACGACCTGATGTCTTAAGACGATGGACGATGGATATGCTGGTCGGGCGAGGGATACGAGGGATACGCGGAAGACGATATAAGGAAGAATCAAAACAGATATTATTTGGCGGGATTCCTCTGGGTTGATGTCGTCGTCGCCGTAATTGGTATTGGTGACACCTGAGGATAGGGGGTGGATTGAAGATGCGAGTGCAAGTGCAAGTGCAAGATTGTGTTGTCGTGTAAACCGACAAAGTTGGCAGCTGAATGGGTGGATACGGAGGTTGGGCACCATGCGATCCTATAATTGGCTAGATTAACGTGGATAACTGCTAGTGGGTACGTCCTTAATTGCATCTTAATTGCATCGACTCAGCCACAACCAAGCAACCAAGTTAACGGAGAGAACATTAATACCTTAATAAGGCCTAGCGTCGATTATAAATATAAGTCGTTGGAATACGGTATTGTACCCAAATACGTACGTAGTATCTATGCTACACTATAGAACTGAAACCTTTATTAAAATAGATAAGTCTTATTTCTTAATGCAAATGCAATTCGACCTGTCAGATAATATTTACATTTATTTTAAATATTAATATGCAGGCTACAAGTATTTTAAAACATCCCTTCCAAATCATACCTGATAGGGTTAGCTTGCTCTCAGGTATTCACAAGCATGCTACGCTCTTTCTGTATTATTGCATTAAGCATGCAGACGTACAAAGAAGAAGAAGAAGAAGAAGAAGAAGAAGAAGAAAAAAAAGGCCCGGAAGACGCGATGTGGATATGCAGTAATTGGGATCCATAGCTATCCCGCATAATTGGGCTAGTGGACCCTGAGCCAAAAAGGAGGATAGATGGACGATAATCACAGCGATTCTTATCCATTTCGGTATACGGCATTATGTCATATTCAACGGAACTGACGCTCGTTTCTATGATTTTCTCTTCCTCTAATTTATTTCTCTATCTGCCTGCCTGCCCATATGAGGTAACGAATATCATCAAGTCGTCAATCTCTTTTTTTTTTCTTCTTGTCTTGTATTACCTCTAGTTTATAAATGCGTCTCAGCGTCAGTTCTTAAAGTCTCAATCTCCTTTTCATGCAATCTCAAAAACCCGAGAATACCAAGGATTTAACTTGCCGACCTGCCGACCGGACCCTGTTCACACAGTACTGTACATACCTAACCTAGTAACCTAGGAATATTGAGACAATCAAGTTTAATGCGACTCTAGCCACGATTCCTAAGAATTTTAATCAAATATTCAGCTCGACTAGGTATAACCCGGCACGCTCGCCGGCACGCTCGGGTTCCCTACTTCTCGCCAATCTCTTTGCCGACTCTCCGAGACAAGTCACCAACTTCTCCAACGATCTTCAACTGTGATATGATGTGTCGTCAAAGAGAATATTAAAGCTGATGAATATACCGAGACTTACATATCAACCGTATTTAAGACATATGCTTCTGATGTTAGGGGAGTTATTCATAATATTTACACGATAGGATCTTCTGTGCGTGTAAGCCACCGTCTGTACTGCTGACACTTTAAAAAGAAGATACATACCTACCTATCCTTTTTTTTCTTCTTCGGGTTGAGCGGCAAAACTCTACTCAATCTTACCACGGAACCGACCTATCAAAACAGCGTCGCTATTGTTATATAGTTTTCTTGTAGATCATGTCGGTCATGCATAAACATAGTATTACATAGTACGGTATGGAGACTCCGTTGTCATTGCCCCGAACCCCATATCGAGTAACGTTGGATGCCTCCTCAACGTAGCCCGCAATTGGGGAACCCAAGGTCACAATCAAAAGGCTCACTAAAGCTCCGAACAAGTAGCCCACAGCGAATAAGTTGATACACGTCTCAACAGCGCATGTATGTCACAGCTTAGATCATCGCATTCTAGAGAGATTAACACATGCATAACTCCACGATTGGCTTAAGCGTTTGCCATAGCCGGGACTACGCAAATTTCAGACCAAGGCTTTGTAGAGATTACGGATTAGAGATTGCGAAATCTTACAAACTCATCGGCGGCCTCATGTACCGGCAAAGCACGAGTTAACTGCCGCAAACCTGGCCCTCGACTATTATGTATAATAGGTGTACCTAACCCAGCAGAAGGGAGAATATCAATATTATACCTAACCTTTTCCCAAGCCATAACTCCTCTTAATGCCTTTGGATTATGTACAAGATAATACAAGTTATATCCAATATCTATCAGATAAGGGATAAGTGCCATCGCCTTATGTCCTCGTAGATCCTTCGACTGCCATCCTATTCGCGCCCTCTCGTTGTAATTTCTCCAGCGTCTTCTTCTTTTGGTGCTCAGCAACTCGATATCGCTTGAAGTAAGTTACCTACAAATACGCAACGAGAGTATTAGTAGGTTAGCCATGACCTAACTTATACATCGCAATGCTCTATTAAGAGGTAGGAACACACACCCAGGCGCTGGCGCAGTTCTGTTCGAACCCCTTATTCTCCTGCCCACATTGCTTCTCGGCAATTTTCTTGCCGTCGCCGTTTAGCGAGTCGATAACATCGTGCTTGTCTAGACATTTGTAGAATTTGTCGCGCGCATCCCAGCATAGCTGCCGCTCCGTTCTATCTGGCGCGCGCGCACCGGTGCGTACCTCCTCTTTGCGCTTCTCGTCGGCAGAAGTGAAGAAACCGAAGACGCCCATGGTAGTAGTTATTTAATGCCGAGGAATAGAGAGTTTGGTAGTTTGATATGGGGTTAAGAGGTTTGTTTGTTAACACGGATTAGCCAGTCGTATTTGCCGAATGACGTCGTCTTTTTGGCATTTTTGGATTTGTGAAAATAAAGTTCTGCGGGACGAGCTCGACTTATCGATTTATCGACTTATCGACTTATCGACGCTATCAACGGCTATCATATTGAAGCTATTAAGCTGAATGCCGATAGGTGAAGCCTTCTAATTATGTAATACATTCAAGTACCCACTCAGTGCATAGCGGCTCAGAATTAAAGTTAGATGAGGACCTCAGCCCCTGCATCACCCTTTTCCCCATCATTATGTTAGGTACCTAGGTTAGGTACCTTTCTATGTACGGCCCGCCGATTGATTGATTTATGAATAGGTAATCGCCAGACGAGGCGCATGACTAGCCTACCGCCTACCTCACCTAACCTTCGTCAAATTAATAATAGCCAAAAGCCCAGATGATTTAAGATTTTCGACAATACCATCCTCTCTACGACTCAACACTTCGCGCCTTGCTTCCCACCTAGCAACATTACATTACGTACGTGCCTAATACAACAGATCGAACCATCGAAACCCGCATCTAGAAATGGTAGCCTCATAGCGCGACGTCGAAGCGAATAATATCCAACTTCCTTTCCATCCACTCATTCAACTACTTTTTTCACTACTATCACTATCAGACGAACTTTACGCGCCGAGTCCCGAATCCCGATTCCTCTCCTTCCGATTTTCCTTTATTCCAGGCCTCGAAAATGGCTAGACGGAGGAGACCTCCGCGGGCTGGCGCCGTCAACGAACTACCCCCTCTACGGATCCTCGGCCAGATCGCGGCGCTGCAGAGCATATACTATGCCGCCGCGCTTGTCCTAATGCTCTTCACATCTCTAGTCGCCGGTACTCGGTTTAGCTTGGACCTAGTTTTCGGCTGGGCGGACCTGCGTGGCGACACGACGCAGGGGTGGTTGATGGGATTTATCTGGCTATGCTGCGCGGGCGCTGCGTTGGTGCCCCTCGTCCCCCCGGATCTAGGCGGAATGATACTGATATATGATAATATAGCGTAGTAGCTATGATAGCTTTCGTCGGCCGGTCGAAACTCGTAGTCGATTTTGCGCTTACCCTCCACTTCATCCACCTCGTCATCGTGACCTTTTATACGGGCCTGTTGCCGCGAAACGTTGCCTGGTGGGCTACAGCAATAGTTTCGAGTGCCATAACCGTCGTGGGAGGTACTTATGGCTGCCAGTGGAGGGAATTGCGGCCCATCAGTTTTGGAGGCAACGCGAAGAATAATAATGCGGAGGGCGGCGTCGCGGCTACAGCGCAGAACGGGGCTGCAGGAAATCAAGGCGATGAAGAGATGGGCTTCTCTAGGGGCCGTGGAAGGGGTAGAGGGAGAGATGGAGTTGGAGAGTACGAAATGGTTGGCATGAGTGGCGATGGGAGTCGATAATGTTTTTACCCTCTTGTGGGAGATATCGGTCCATAATCAGTAGGACTTGTATGAATACTGCATGCACGGCGTTGGGTTTCTTCGAAGAGTAAATAAAAGCCTCAAGGCTTGGAACTACTTATGTTCCGTGCCATGGTATTATGTCTAATTGCGTTGGATATTATAGACGAAGACATGAAGTATATACAGTATATACACAGGGGCTTATAAGTACGGTATCTTTGAATACTTGACTTTAGCCGTCTCAACTTACAAGACCAAGCCCGGGTTCGCTCGTGATACTATCAGTGGCCAGTTCGAGGATCTGAAATTAACTAGAAGCAGAACCGAACCTATAGAAACCTAGAAATAAGACGGGTGCTTAAATGTCAACCCAGAGCAACGGGTCCGTAAGTCTATGAAGTATCCACTTGTCTCCGGTCTATTCTCCGTTCACTCGGATTTGAAGAGACATGTTTTCAAGTAGCCCAGCAAAAATAAACGAAACGAAAAAACTTTCCTCTTAGCTCAAGTCCAATAAATGCCGCTGTCAAAATAAGCTGTTTTCTACGAGTCGAGAATTTCGTTACCGTAAAAGCATTCAATAGGTTCCGGGTCATAAACGGAAAGGTGACCGGAGCCCGCCTATAACCGACGGCGTTGTATATTTGGGTTATTTGTATCGTTTAGTTGAAGTCCTAGTTTTATCCCACTGTCCCTCCATTAAAAATCAATTTCTATTGCTATCTATTATAAAAACATAAATACTCGAGATGCAAAGTCCATTTCGTCTGCCTATTATCGTTTGTCTTCGTTCACACGCTATATTTACATAGTTAAAGAAAATTTCCCGCCATGGCTACAATCGTGTTAGGTGTTCAATGGGGAGAGTAAGAATTCCGCGTTCTGACTTTTAATTATTTGTTTATATCCTTTCTTACTGACCTGTCTTATACGTCTAGTGAAGGAAAGGGTAGGTCTGCTATTAGTTATTGATTTAATATCCACAAGAAATTACCTAACAAGATGACCTTCGTCATACGTCTCTCTTAAGGCAAACTTTGCGATATCCTCAGCTCTGATATTCAGATTTGCGCTAGAGCCACCGGCGGGCGAAACTGTGGTCACAGTAAGATGCCCCTATTCGTCTTTTCAGATATAAACGGGTATACTAATCCGTATATGGCCTCTTATAGCTGTTGTGGCTGCAGGTGTATCATACGACTTGTAAGTGTCACATTTCGCTCTACCTGCTTAACACCACTGACTTTTTTAAAGCCACATGCTACCACCGGGACTCATTCATCCGTCAACTATAAATATAATTGGGCCCGGTGTTGTTCTTCACGTGCCTACTTTCTTCGCCGAGCTTGCTAGCATCGAAGCGAAAGGAGTTGTAAATGCTCAACAGAGACTAAAGGTATCAACGCGTTGCGCACTAAACCTTGATCTTCATGCAGCCGTGGATCGTCTTTGTGAAGAGCATCTTGGCAAGAAGAACATAGGCACCACAGATAAAGGCATAGGCCCTGCTTACAGCTCCAAGGCCGAGAGAAGCACCGTACTTCTCGCCGATCTTCTTGACGACGATGAATTCGGAGACCGAATCAGGACAATGGAACGAGATTATAAACTGAGATTCGGCGGGGACTTGGCCGGATACGACGTCGAGGCGGAAATCAAAGAGCTCGAGGTAAAGATACTGCCCCTTCAACTGTACTCTTCTAACCCCCTAGAACTTCCGTGAAAAACTCCGCCCCTTTCCCGTGGACGATGTCGAGTTTCTCGAGGAGGCCCAAGAAAAAGGACAAAAGTTCCTCGTCGAAGGCGCGCAATCAGCCCTGCTAGACAACACGTACGGAACCTGGCCCTATGTAACATCGACAACCACTACTTTCGGTGGTGTAATGGCCGGACTGAATCTCAACTACCGAAAGGTAGATTCCGTTATCGGCGTCCTGAAGGCGTACTGCACGCGAGTCGGATCCGGTCCATTCCCGACGGAAGATTTCGGCGACGTCGGCATCAAGCTCCAGGAAATAGGACACGAGTTCGGTGTTACTACGGGACGCAGGCGTCGTTGCGGCTGGCTGGATCTAGTCTCGGCAAAGTACTCCAATAGCGTTAATCACTACGACTCTTTGAATCTCACCAAACTCGACGTCCTCGACACCTTTGAAGAGATCCAGGTAGCAGTAGCCTACAAGCATCCCGATACCGGTGAGCTGATCAAAGGTTTCCCCGCCAGCGCGAAGCTCCTATCTAGAGTCAAGGTTGTGTATAAGACCATGAAAGGCTGGAATACCACGACAACCTGCACCAAGAAGTTTGAAGACCTGCCCAAGGAGGCCCAGAACTATGTCACATTCATCGAAGACTTCCTCGGCGTCAAGATCAAGTGGATTGGATGCGGACCCAAGCGAGAAGACATCCTAACTCGTTGATTGTGCAGTAATTCTATTTTCTTACATAAATCTCTTTCTGTTCCCTACACGCGTAACCCGATATACTGTGGTTGATAGAGAGTTAGGAGGAAGTATCAGGCATCCCCTAACAAAACCAGCTGTTTCTTTATCTAACTTAAAGGTTTATAAAAAAATATTTTTCTTGCAGATTGGCTAAGCAGCTAAACTCGTGCCAGATCATAGCATAGATCTAAGCCTGTTGACGAAATGGTAAATGTACGAAAATTGGGGTAGTGGAACAGCCTCTATAGTTGGTGAGGAGACCGTTTGACTTGGTCGGAGCAACTTGAGATTAGCAATCTTAGAGAGAATTCTTACTTATTTAGATAAAAGAGAAGATGTCTCCGTGTTTCTAGTTTTTTGTCCCCTTCTTTACCCTAAATGTATGTGTGAGCAATAAAGCCTATGAACGATATCGACTAGGTAGAATCAAATCCCTGAGCAAACGACTAACTTAGAGACTTAGTTCCATATAAGATAGTGTAAGATCCGACATTCTATGAAAACTTTCATTAGAACGGCTATTCACTTAGGTACCTAGGTAGGTACACAAAGTTCAACATAACATATTATTCTACCCTATTTAAGGTGATATAGTGTCTAGGTCTATGTATCCGCAACCGCAAAGTCAAGCCCTACCATCAATCTAAACCAGCCTCTAATTATTGCCCTTCTCTCCATCCCCGCAAGTTTCTTACCTTATCCTAGCACTATTCCGTATCCTATAAGCTACTTTCTCCAGTAGATGCCGCATCTTCGTTTGTCTTCAGTTTGTGTACAGTCTCATCCGTGTTCTATCTCGCTAGCGTCAGCGGTCGCGGAAGACTATCTTGGCTGCTCCGCCTAGTTTCAAGGCAATCAACAGGACAAAATGGATCCGAATTTCCAGGTTCGCCTTGAGACTCCGACTAGGTATCTGGGTGGCAGGAATCGGGTTCCGCTACTTTATCTAGCTGACCTGTCTCCAACGTATAGTCAATTACCGCCCCTACAACCGAGATATCTCCTTCTATATTGGCGATAGAGGTTGAGTCGATATTATATGTTTCTCTTGACGTTATTGGTATTGTTAGGTTGGAGGCTGTAGTCGGCATTGGAAAAGTATATCCAAGCCCAAGGGGCATATTTGATAGTAATGGTTTGCCACCAGTCTTAGACACTTCACCAATTGATGAGACGCGAGCCGGAATCACGTCTTCTACATCTGAAACCAAAGAACTCGAGAGTCGCTGCAAGGTACTGAGTTTATTCCCCGAGGCAGCTGTGGGAAGGACAGGCTCAAGAGGTTCGAACCTGGGGAAATATTCTTGCGCATATTTTGAAGTATCATCAATGCGTGAATCAGTCTCTTCTTGACCGCTGTGGCTGGTGAATAACGGCTTAGGATAGAGACTTTCCTCTGTTCCCTTACTAGGAACACTTGAACATTCTAGTAGAGTTTCAATATGAGTAACTGAAATTGGAAGACCTTCGTTGTATTCTTCGGTAGACTCCGCCGGTGACACAATATTATCTGGTGTTGTAACTTCCGATAAACGACTGTGCTGTGCCCTTCGTCGCTTTCCGCGCCGCTGTGACGATTTAGACACTGGGCTTATAACGCCAGATTGTGGACCCGACGACAAGGGCGTATTGAATGGAATAGTTGGAGGCATATCAAGAGCTGTAGGGTTTGATGCAGATATCTCATTGGGACTCGCGGCACCACTATAGAACAGTGTATGTGAAGTAGGAGAATTCCCCGATACGCCAGTTGATGAGCCAGACGTTCTAGAGACTAAGTCAAGACTCGTCCTCGACGAGAGCCGGTCGAGTTCCGCCGTGGCAATCATCACACTAGCTATAGCCAATGGGTCGATGTAACGCCCAATATCTTGAGAAATGCGTTTGGTGTTAGTAGCATTAGACTCGGGAGTATTAAACAATGGACTTTCCTCGCCAGATGGCGGCCAGGTACCCACGGGGTCTCGAGCCAAGAGCCGGCGTTCTTTACTATGCCGTGGAGCAGGAAACTCAGATCGAATAGAAAATGTTGAAGAGCCTGAGCGCCTAATCCTCTGTCCAAGAGACCGGAATTGATTTGTGACAATATTACGGACACGTAAATGACGCCGATATCGACTTTTGTCAACATTGGGACGGAAGTTATTAACCCGCGCTTGGGAGTCTTGACCCTAGATTGATAACTAGTCAGCAGGTAGAGTTGACGATAGATAGGGATGTATACCTCTAGCCTTGATGGCGGTGCCTGAAAATCATCCAATTGTCGACAAAACTCAGGGCATGAGTTATGAGCATGTCTTTGAATAACGTAGAGCTGAGCATTAGGCCGTGAAAGGTATAAACATGGCTTCTCACCAGAAACATCCTTGCTACCACTGCTACCACTGCTGCTGTCCTCATTGTGGTTATTGTCAACCGGAGAAGGATCGACCTGACGCATACGATGAGGAAACCCGGAGTTTGACACTTCTGATACATCATGTTTCCGACGGGGTTTTCTTTTTCCCTAGCTTTTCTCCCAGTCTATAGATCCAGATGTATTAGACTCGAGCTTCTGAGAGCCGCCGGATAGATGTGCACTTCGACTAGACTCTTTTAGATCATTAAGCCCACCCCTGAGTAGTTTTGAAAGCTTATCGCCTTCAGAACTAAGTGGACCATCAAGGCCAGTCCCGGACTGCGCGATCGATCGGGTTTGCTTGGGAGGCTGTAGTACGATGCTTGGACACGTGAAGCTTGGACCTACGTCGACTTTACCCCCCGAGTCCGGCGCATCTGGAGAAGAAACCGGGGTAGTTTGCCCGGTCAAGCTGGTCTCTTCATTTGGACAGTTGGAATAAGAAACACCCGACAGCCAATTTGAAATTAATTCATCGTCCGCGCTATGTTCCCATTGGTTATTAAGGTCCTCAGAGCCGACCGAGTTCGGGCTGACTGGCGTAAGGGGCCGATCTTTACAAGCTTCGGGGGCCCGACGCGCCTGGCAAGAGGAAGATGCCCCGGTGATGTTTGGGCATAAATGGAGTGTATGCGGTCTAGGAGAGAATAGCCAATGCCCATCTTCGAATTCTCGATTGTTCTCATCCCATCGTTGTTCGGCGGGGGCCGATTTGCAGCTATGAGAGTGACATCTATGAGAGTGACATCTATGAGGATGACATTGGCCGCTATGGGAATGTCCTGTCGAGTTGGGGGACAATAGATGTTGCTCTGCGGTGAGCAGTGAATACCCATAATCTATAGCTTGCATAACGAGGGTATCATGACTCTTCAGGAGTTTGCTTCACGAAATAGGAGCTGATATACTTGGAGAGAGACGATAGGCGATGGCGAATACGGAACCAAAAGGCTTTAAAAATGTATCGCCACTTGGTAAAAACGAAGGGCATGATTCTAGGTGTCGGTTTAGGTATAGGGTCGTTAAGTTGATAAGGAAATATGAGAGAAGGATTAGGAATGATTTCGTATAAGTGAAAATGTAGATGACATGATGAGTTATCTAATTGAAGGAATAAAACTGAAATGATATTCTCCAGTCGCTTCCATGGCATGAAGACGGTATCTGTACTACTTTCCTCTTCAAGGACCTCAGAGTATAGAAGGTTCGGTCCTTGAAACGATCTTTCTGCTTACTCCTTTATGTACTTCAGATATGTACATATCATGAAGTCTAATGCAGATACATAACATTATGTACCTAACCTAGGTAGGTATATGAGGTAATGTTAAGGTTGTGCATTTTCCGGTGTTGAGTTTAGGTAATCATTAGCGTAAGAATCCGCCGTTAGCCGAAGTCACTACCGAGTATTCCCGCCGCTCTGGGAATGCCGAGGGCCGCCGAACGGAGCGCCATTCCACTAATTTTTGTTTGGATTCATTTGCTTTCGATCTTGGCTCCGCAACCGCCTCCATTCTCGCCATGGATAGGTAGCTTCAGGTAGGGAATCCCCATTGCGCTCACCTCAATTCTTCCTAATTGAGAGTGTAGTCATGTTTCGTCCGGTAATATCTCGCGTTTCGAGGCCATTAGCCGGGCCTACAAGGCAATGTCGGGTCTTTAGCAGAAGCTATGCTTCTACCCCGAAGTCTTCGTTTGATTGGGAAGACCCGTTAGCGAGTAAGAGCTTATTCACCGAGGAGGAATTAGCTATCTCGGAGACCGCAGAGCGATACTGCCAAGAGCGATTACTGCCGCGGGTTTTACGTGAGTTATTCTAGTGACAATTCGTCTTTATACTCTAATAGCTTAGCCGCTGACTATACTGCTCAGAGGCGTATCGTGACGAATACTATGATCCGGCTATCTTGCTCGAAATGGGTGAACTCGGCCTTCTCGGCGCGAATCTTCATGGCTACGGTTGTGCTGGCGCATCGACCGTAGCGTCAGGCCTAATTACTCGGGCCGTCGAACGAGTCGATAGCGGGTACCGATCTGGCATGTCGGTGCAATCCTCGCTAGTTATGGGTGGGATTTATGAATTTGGGACTAAGGAGCAGAAAGAGAAATATCTGCCCAATATGGCAAAGGGTAAACTTCTTGGAGCGTTTGGACTCACAGAACCCAATCACGGTAGCGACCCGGGATCAATGGAATCGACGGCGCGACCGCATCCAACAAAAAAGGACTATTTACTTTTAAGTGGTTCCAAAACTTGGATCACCAACTCGCCTATTTCCGATGTACTTCTGGTGTGGGCAAAGTTACAGGAGACTGGCAAAATCAAGGGATTCCTTATAGATAGAAAGGATTGCCCTCCCGGCACCCTGGAGACACCGGCTATCAAGAATAAGACCGGACTTAGGGCTAGTATTACGGGTATGATTCATATGGACGACTGCCCAGTACCGGAAGAAAACATGTTCCCCGATGTTGAGGGCTTGACTGGCCCCTTTACATGCTTGAATAGCGCTCGGTATGGTATCTCCTTTGGCACCATGGGCGCCTTGGAAGACTGTATTGCTCGGGCGCGGGAATATGCTCTAGAGCGGAAGCAGTTCAAGAGTAACCCTATTGCCAAGTATCAGTTGGTGCAAAAAAAACTGGCGGACGCTGCGACGGATGCTGCGTATGGCGTGCTCGCATCGATACAGGTTGGTAGGCTTAAGGATGAAGGGAAAGTTACACCAGAGATGATTAGCATGGTGAAAAGACAAAATTGTGACCGTGCGCTTGTGAATGCGAGGGCGTTACAAGAAATCTTCGGGGGTAATGCGGTTAGCGACGAGTACGGAATCGGAAGGCATGTAGCCAACCTATTTGTGACCCAGACTTATGAAGGACAGAGCGATATTCACAGTGAGTTAGCCGCCATAAAACTGATAACGTTTGCTAACCTGGTACAGGTCTTATTCTCGGAAGAGCCATAACTGGGCTTCAGGCTTTTGTATAGCAGCGTAGCTATTGGATATTTAGCGAGTTATCTTATGAAGCTGACTTGGGAAGTATTTGAGCGTTTCCAATATGAAGCAGTCGTAAATATTAGCCACGGTCCTCACGGGGAAGATGTTGTTTATTAGACGATAGAGTCAAGGCAGAGAGTCAAGGCATCCGAACAGACCCATACAAGTCATAATGCAGTGGATAATGCAGTGAAGCGTGACAATTGCTGACAGCTGAGGCAAAAACGAGCTGTAAGTGGTAGAGATAGGGAAGTGCAGGCGCGGTTAGTTGGCCTGATAGGTTAGGATTGGGCGGTACGGTGGCGGTGTGGGGAACTGTGTGCTTCGGTGTAACCAGACAAGCCTAAGGTGCCGTCTTTTCGGACTCAAAGGAAGCAAAACGGTTCCTTCCAATTGGTTCGAACATGGTTTGTCTTGCCGGTTTTGTGATTTGTGTCAGACTCATTAGATCAGGTAGGTACCAGTCAGCCCAGTACACATCCAGTACAAAACCAGGTACCAGTTGGAACCGCGTACCTAGGTACCTAGGTAGCAGTGCAAGCTAAGCCACTCCTTTTTAGAGAACCTTAGCTACAGCAAGTACAGCAAGACCAGTATGTAAGACCACCTAGCAAGAGGACTGCAAAACTGATTGGACTGAAGAAAAAAAAGGTGTTAGCGCCTACCCGCCCTGTCCGTTTCTTTACGACTGGTCTGTGCTGACCTAATTATTCCATTTCCATTCATTCCGTCACCTGAAAGACTTGCCTGACTTTCCCTTTTCCCCCGCTACCAAACCTTTTCGTACCAAACCCTTTCGTATCTACAGTCACCATCAAACAATCATTCCGACAACCATAATCATAATAACAACGACACCACATCCTGACCTCATTCATATCCTCAACACTGGCCGTAGTCATTCAGACTTCCACACTCTAGTAAGTTTATATTTGTCCTTTATAAACCCCCTTTTCCCTTTTCCTTACGGCTACAAACCTTAGCCTTTTATAACTCTATCCATTTCTCCCGCATTCCATACTGACCGCAAGTATAAGTAGTTGATCTCTTCAGGAGGAGATACCGCTGCCGGCCAAAACAAGAAACCGCAAACTCACAACCTACACCTTTACGAAATGGCGTTGAAGCGAATCAACAAGGAACTCACAGACCTGGGCCGGTATGTCGATTTTTTTTTTGTTTGGATCTTATCATACTGAATGTTTGTTTGGCGATGGTACTTGGTTTGTATCCTTAACGTGCCCAAGGTGGGGCTGCCATGGAAAGGCAGGGCGGGGATCTTGATACAATACAGCCTCGTCAAGGAGAACTTCATACTCGTTCACCATCTCTAGGGATGATTTTTTACTAGGAGGATATACCTTGATCATTTTGCTAATGTTCTCTCTCTCAGTGACCCCCCTTCATCATGCTCTGCTGGTCCTGTTGGTGAAGATTTGGTAGGCATCATCTTCCCCACCACCAAAAAAATAATAAGCGTCGATACTATCTACCCGCTGCGTGACTTGGTCGGGCACGAGCAATTATACCTTCGGATCCCTTTTTCTGTTAGGAAGCCTCACGTCATTAACTATTGCTAACTTCTTGTTTTTCTGTGTAGTTCCACTGGCAAGCGACGATTATGGGACCAGTAAGCCATTCCTCCAATCTCCTCGCCTTTCCTATTCCTTTGCGCGCGCATGCTGCCGTGCATGCTATGGACTGGTACTTTGCTAGTGGTGGCTCTTCAAGCCAAACTTGGTATATATTGTAAATCAGTTCACAGTACTAACTGAAGGTCGTAGGGTGACTCGCCATACTCTGGAGGTGTCTTCTTCCTCGCCATCCACTTCCCGACAGACTACCCGTTCAAGCCTCCTAAGGTCAACTTTACAACTCGCATCTACCACCCGAATATCAACTCTAATGGCAGCATCTGCTTGGACATCCTGAGGGACCAATGGAGCCCGGCGTTGACCATCTCCAAAGGTAAATATCGTATACCAATTTTGTGACATATTCTAGTTCTAACCTTGCACAGTGCTCCTGTCAATCTGCTCCATGCTTACCGACCCTAACCCCGATGACCCTCTTGTCCCCGAGATCGCCCACGTTTACAAGACCGACCGGGCAAGATATGAAGCTACGGCTCGCGAGTGGACTCGCAAGTATGCTATCTAAGATAACAAGTAAGGAGAATTCGCTGGCGGAGAATGACGCTTGGCACCGGAAGTAGTGAGCATAGCACTTATCGGTAGTGATACTGGAAGGGACATGGATTTTTTTTCTTCCAACCTAGGCAATACGATCTGCATTCACCAGTGTCTGTCCATCCGTCGTTATGGTTTAGTGTGCCTCTTCGGTGAACATGAGAGCACATGCTTTCAGAAGTGGAATGAGAATGACTTGCTAAGGAGGATGAAGTTTTACGAAAGACATGATATGTTGGAGTGATCTGGAGGAACTCTCTGGCTTTACATTTTAGTCCTCCTTTACATTCATCCCAGATTTGTTTTAATGCATTCACGTTTCCCATTTCCCCTTTCTCGTATACTACTTGTGACATCTATTAATAAGCTCTGGGGCTTGCTATGGCCTGGATAGTCTGCAGAACCCTCCAGGTTCCTATAAATGCTACCTAGGTAGTTATCCAAACTGGTGACAGCTGACAGCCCATACGGTTATGAATTGTAGTTAATGTCAAGCCTTGAGAAGGATTATTAGGGTTTGCCATTATAAGTCAAGTCATCTGTAACGTTAACGTTAACGAAAAGCTGACCAGTCCAAGTTGCTAGGATCAGCCCGAGCCAACTTTTTGGGGGCCTTTTTTTCTTGAATACCTTAGGTACCTACCTAGTAAAGATATTTTAGAACAACTACGGCGTTTCGATTTTTGGTTTAGGTGCATGTAATAGAGGAAGTGAGATATATGAAAACGTGGCGTATGCATTTACCCACATGCACCCCTTGTTTTAGCCGCCGAATCCAGGTACATTGGGTACCTAACCTCTCTAAAATACGGATTACGTATAAACAATGGTCTTATATCTTCTATCTAACTTATGTTTTCACCGCCGGTCGTACGGTGATGGTGTGTTGATGTATTGGTTTAAATAGTAAGACACTTATTCGGGTATATCGTTGCATCTACATACCTACATACACGATCCTTCGTCAAGTGAGGAGGGTACAAATATAGACGTTAAGGGGATATTTTGATATCCGGATCTAGATGCTTCCGGGTTGTAGGATCTGGAGGGATTCGCTCAGTCTTTTCTAACTTGGATTCGTGCGGCGTTAAGTCACGAGGATATCGATGTAGGGCGAAAGACGGATGGTATTAAGATATATAGATAATTTTGGGGATGTGAAAGAATATCGATCCGATACGCGGGATATAATGGTCTATGTACATACATAGGTAGGTATTATACATACATAGATGTGCGATCTTTTTACTATTTGATGAGATCTACTCCAGGATCTAGCCGCATCGTGTGACGGTAAGGATGTTTATTTGTAGACTAGGTTGGCTCGAGTTGAATTAAATCGTCACTAGGTTGGTGATGTGATCATTTATCGGGTTGCCCGTTTGCTTTTAGAGAAATAATCTGGTGGTTACATTTTTGACCTACGCTGTCTGGCTGTAAGCGGCTTTCGCTGGCGTCAAGCGGCTGATGAGACTATTCCTGGAATTTTTAATATATTTAAGCTTAGCTGATGTTATCTAGTAATACCAAAATTGCATAGCGCTTCCTTGGTGTTCCCCCTAAATTACGTATTTTTAACAATTACTACTATGTAAGTTGTGTTGTAAAATGTCTACCTAGGTAGTCAAGGATTTTATAGAGAAAATCAACCTTGTTTACTATGTAAAGGATGTAAAAGTGAATTTTAATACTCTAACCTAGCGACTTGCAAGGTCCTAAAGAAGAAAAAGTGAAGCTTCTATAGCTTCTATGTATTTGATTCATCCGCTTCGTGACAAGTACATACTCAAGGTGGGTTGGGCATAATATTCTGCTGGCGCTTTGCTCCTTTTGCTACGGGGCCCTTGGCAATTCAAGTCTCGAATGCTGTCTAAGGACCCCTGACGAAACAATCTGAGGCACAGGCGCCGGGGGTTATTACGAATACTGACCAATAAGAAGGCGGATATCTTCATCGACTTATCCACATTCCAAACCAGTCCAAGCTCGATTCCCCTCATATTCTTTTCCTTTTCATCTTGTACCTCCTACTTCCTCACCCTTCCACCAAGTGACCTCCGCCCCCAGCTACGATAGATACACTAGTTCTAGCCTGGCCGAGGGTTGTGCAGGCCCTTTTGTGTGTCTCTTGTATCGAGACGTGTTGCCGCGATGGAAGTGGTGCCATTACCCACCTCCCTATCCTGGACCTAGACGAGGATCCGAACATCAGACAGTCTGCCGAGCCAGACTATGTCATGGACGAAGATTCTTTGATGAATACTTTTGATAACTGCAGCAAGTGTTGTTCTTTTTCTGCCAGGCAGGTATTTTCTATTATCTCAGCACTTATCTCAGCACTTATGTTCATTCGCCATCATTCTAGCATCATAAAGATGCAAAATTCTCGGATCTTGCACCCAAATCCGTTAGTCCAATTCAACCTAGAAACGTGGACGTCCTGAGCCTCCTTCGTACTTCAAATGCCTCGAAACCGTTTGCGGTAAGGCTGTAACCGCTTGTCACTCGTCGGCCAGATCTAGGACCCATCTGTCTAAGAACCCCTGATGAATGTTACATGTACCTGGTTGCATATGCCTGGATATGCTACCATCACAAGTTACCAGTACATAGTTTCATACTTGTCTTCCCCTTATCCTCTCTTTAATAAACCCTCCCAGGGTCTCTCTCGTACCTAAGCTTTCTAGACAATTTCGTGGCCTACATATGTACATACCAGATGGGGCTATAACAAAATCGACGTTAAGTAAAACCTCGTTGCGGCGCTGTACCCAGGTATGATCTACGAGAATGGCCTGATGTTTCTTATTCTTGGCAGTCTTCCATAATATCCACCGCCTTCCTGTCTCTTGCATGAGATCTTCGGAACCCTTCTCTCCTTTCCCTTCGTTTACTCACAAACGCTTTCCCCTCCGTCTTCCTTCTCGTAGGTGCGCTATTCGATTCTTGCGTTGGCTAACCGGCAACTGCTATAGCAGGCTTTCAGGCCAACCTTACCTTCTTTTTGACCGTCCTTTTCATCCGTCACCTTGCCGATTCTTTCCTTCTATGGCTTCTTGACCGTTCAGCAGGTTCTGAATTAGTATTACCTGTCTTTTTTTTTTCGCACCTAGCGAAGCGATTCCGATATATAATTAAAAAATCTAATAGAGAAGAGGAGGCATTAGTGGTGTCGGGTTGGTGATTGTATTTGGAGATACAAGTGGACTCGGAAGGTGAAGAGATATTGTTCGAAAAGCGACTTTCCACAAACGACCGCGAAAGAATTAATTCGTATAAACGCCCTCCGACCAAGATGTCGTACTACGATATGGGCGAGAAGCCCTCGGAGAGGTCAAGATGGACGCCGTTAACAAGAATGTTGCTGTCGGGAGAGATGACGCAGGAGCGGCAAAAGGAGTTGACGATGCGAGAAAAGTTCGATAAGTGGATGATCAACGAAGGCTACCGAAGATTGTTTGTACCAACCGTGAGTCTCCTTGATATAATTCTTTACTAACCATCAGCTAGTTTTGTCTTCGTTTTCATGGTTCTCCATGCCCTAGTCTTCGCGTTCGGTTTCGTCAACTACGCCGTCAAGGACAACTTACAAGTAGCGAGAGATACTTTTGGGCCGACTTACATGATTGCTAGATCGTCGGCGTTGGTTCTCCACGTGGATGTGGCCATGATTCTGCTGCCGGTCTGTAGGACATTTATCTCCATGGCGCGACAGACACCTCTCAACGGAATTATCCAGTTCGATAAGAACATTACGTTCCATATCACTACTGCCTGGTCCATCTTCTTCTTTTCCTGGGTCCACACGATCGCTCATTGGAACAACTTGGCGCAAATCGCTGCTAAGAACAACCTGGGAATCTACGGGTTTTTGGTCGCCAACTTAGTATCTGGTCCGGGTTGGACGGGTTATATCATGTTGGTAGCGCTCACAGGCATGGTGTTGACATCGTATGAGAAGCCGAGACGAGCAAACTACGAACGATTTTGGTACACTCACCACATGTTCATCGTCTTCTTCCTTTTCTGGTCTTTCCATGGTGCCTTCTGTATGATTCAACCCGATATCGCGCCGTTCTGTATCTCGGTCGGTACCTCCGCTATTGGTGTCTTCTGGCAGTACTGGATGGTCGGAGGATTTACCTATCTGGCCGAACGAGTTGCCCGTGAACTACGTGGACGCCACAAAACTTACATCTCCAAGGTTATCCAGCACCCGAGCAACGTTTGCGAAATCCAAATTAAGAAGGAAAACACCAAGACCAAGGCTGGACAGTATATCTTCTTCTGTTGCCCAGAAGTATCTCTTTGGCAGTACCACCCGTTCACCTTAACAAGCGCTCCCGAAGAGGATTACATCTCGATCCATATCCGTATGGTTGGTGATTTCACGAAGGGTGTGGCTAAAGCGCTTGGATGTGACTTCGAGAGGAAGGAGAAGGACGCATCGACAGTTGTAGGTGTTGACCGTCAGAACAACGAGGTTGATCCTGCCTTAAAGAGAGTTCTTCCCCGGGTATATGTCGACGGTCCGTTCGGTTCTGCCTCAGAAGATGTGTTCAAGTACGAGGTTTCTATGCTAGTCGGCGCCGGTATTGGTGTCACGCCGTTCGCGTCCATCCTCAAGTCGATCTGGTATCGGATGAACTACCCGCAGAAGAAGACCCGCCTTGCGAAGGTATACTTCTTCTGGATCTGCAGAGATTTCGGTTCTTTCGAATGGTTCCGTTCGTTACTGATGGCCATCGAAGCCCAGGATGTTGACAACAGAATCGAGATCCATACCTATCTCACAGCCAGGATCAAGGCCGACGATGCGACAAATATCATGATCAACGACGCCAACGCCGACAAGGACACAATTACTGGACTGCGCAGCCCGACCAACTTCGGACGTCCTAACTGGGATATGATCTTCCGAGGTATCAGGAAGCTACATTCGCCGGCTGAGGCGGGTGTATTCTTCTGTGGACCTAAGGGTCTTGGTAGTTCACTCCACGTCTTCTGTAATAAGTATAGTGAACCTGGGTACGTAATTTCGTGATTATAATTTGATAAATGCTTCTTCTGCGGACAGCCAGCTAACCTAGTTCGATAGCTTCTCCTTCGTCTGGGGCAAAGAAAACTTCTAAACTTGTGTCCATACAAGACTTGGCCGACACTGTGCCAATAAACCTCGAAAGCATCACCCTATCACCGGCGCCGGACGCAGATGGCCGCTGTATTTGTGTATTAATCGGAGGCAATTTCTGGTTTTCCTTCGCTCGGGGTAGAGTGCGTTCTTTGCTGGACTGGTCACTTAGACTTAAAGGTGGCCAGGACTCTTAATTAGCTCGACAAGCAAACCATACTCTATGACCTGGCCGGACCAACCATGATGAGATAAATTAATATATAGCTACTTAAACTCTTGGGCTCGGTGGATACCTCTTTAGATTCCGGCTGCCGGCGATGTGTCTACGATATACGGAGATGAAGTTGGAGACTCGGAGCTACAGTAGACGTTGATACCATATATACATTTGTATCTATTTTAGCCAAACTTGCAATATCTTTTTACAGTTAGATTTATACTTGCTGTCTATGGTTCCATTGATGGTGATTCTTCGATGAATGATGATATTGACTTCTCTACTCATCCAACACATGCACAGCATAATTTAAACGACGATTCGATGCGCGGCTCTTTCACATAGTTTATTGCAAACAATAAAGTCAAGACGAAACGAAAGATAACCTTGTAATGACAACTCCAGCCGCACCGCGTGGGCAAGATATGCTTTACGATTAGTCAATAATGCCAAGAATTACTGAGAATTACTAAGGGAAATGTTCAGGGCAGGACTGACTCAAATATCATTCCTCGCTTCAGGTTGCCCTAGAAGTCTAACTCGGCACTCCTATTCGGGACTCGGCACCTGATCGACTACCGCCCGTCCCTATGTACTACATACATATGAGGCTCTGACCTCGTCCCTAGACTCCTGGTAAATGATCCCGGCATCTGGGTCTGGCTGGCCCCTGAGAGCCGGTGGGTCTGACATGCGCGCAAGCAACAAGCCAGCAGGACGCGCTGCGGTGAAACGCGCGTGGTCTGGATGTCGTTTCGAGGTGTGGGATACTTAAGAAGACATACGTAAGCCTTTTTTTTTTTCGTTCCTTTTCGCTTGTTCTTGATGGCTTGTTGTTACTTCATTTCTGCTTGGGTGGAAATTGCGATTTCCGTTGCTAAAGGAGTTCCTCGGATATAATAAGGAGACATGGCAAGGCAAATTTAATAATTGCGGAAATATAGTTGCTATGTGCTTTGACTTAACGTTGATATTTAGGAAATAACTATTTCTGTAAATACGCATTTGAAGCCTTCAAGTTGAAGGCATATCCTGCTAATATTTAGTAACTTCGTCTCCTACTCAGGAGGTAGTGTCGGTGAGATCCTTTGGACTATTTACTTCCCCCTTGCCCGACTTTTGTAGATAAGGCCACATCGTGCCATAGCTAGCTAGGCGAGACCTTTATTCAAGGAGTACGCAAAAAGAGGCACTAGTATTTTGGTAATGCCAAACTTTGATACCATAACAACACCACGGACGCGTAATGCTATAACAACGGTGTCACATGTCCGTCCTTGCTACCAATATCCTTCATATCGTCTTCTACGAATCTATCATCATCATCATCATAAAGTTGGAAATCTCCCTCCGACACAGGCCCCGCATCCGGGAACCAGGCTCCGTCGGTGGAGCCGAAAGGCTGTTCTTCCCCGACCACCACCTCCCTAGATGCCCTTTGAGATTCTTGAACCAGATGATCGTTCATGATCCAATCTAAATCGATTAGATCTTCGTCAGAGAATCCTAGCACATCCTGGTGGGCATTTTCTATATCATTAGCTCCGCCATCGCTCATCGACAGTTCATCGTCAACCGTTATTGTCTCTTGGCCGGATAGGTCGGTATTAGTGCTATCAGCGGTACAGACATCGCAGCTTTCCACATGCATAAGCGCGTTAAATAGATCGTGCTTTGCAGTGAGCGGAAGTGTATCGACGGGGGCGCATGGCTTAAGATCGTTATGGCGGTAACTATTTCCGTCGCTGTCGCTGTCGCTGCTGCCACCGTCCGTTCGTAGCGTAGCTTTAGCGCAATAGAGCAGGGGCGACGGCGGAGTAACATTGACGTCCTCGTGTAGACAAGCCCAGTAAATACGTCTTCGCTGGCACATGGGATTAGATGGGGTGTTACGATGATGAAACGTATGGATGAAGGTCTGACACGGATGGTGATCAGTTGGTTGGCGGAATAGCGGCTGATAGGTGGCGGTTTGAGCGCCCTAATTGGTGAACCTATCCCAAGGAGGGATTTCAAATAAGACTTGGAAATATTACTGGTGGGCTGCGGTAGCATCTCAGGCACTTTAGTTATTGGCGTATATTGGATTTCCTGAAGTTGCGGATCATGTTCGCTCAATATCAGATGATATCCTATAAAGACAATCCATGCTAAGCACACGATGTATATGCGTTGCATCACATTCGTTCATCTGGTATTAGTTACTCGCTATTGATTTGATAGGTTTCTAGTCTTGAATCTACGCGCTTATTTCTTAGCACTGACCCCTATGTGGTGAATGCGGGCTAGGGAGTTTAGTTTTTAAGCCCGAATCCTTTGCCAATGAGGGACAGTTCCCAACGCTTTACCTCCCTGCTGCTCTCTATCGTAATACCAGGGCTATCGAGAGCCTCCGTTACATCTTGTTTTGATATCAGATCTTATAAATATAATGCAAGTCGTCGAACTCTAGACATGAAAACCAGTCGACGAAACTTATCTCATCTCCTTATAGTTAGGTGCTCATCTTTCTCTTTCTCCTCTTTCTTTTTTCTTTACTCTAGTAAGGTAGACGGCTATATCTCGGTAGCTTCACTAGGATGTAGGTTTGGCAACTTAGGTCTTCGCTACACTTGAGACTTGATACTTGAGTACTCTCCTGCTAGGCAGCTATATATTTGAGATGACATAGTTAATATCATACAAGATATATTTTCCCCTCTTATACACTATAATCTCATCAAAAGGGCATCGAGGAGCCAGTTAAACTGCGTATATAACCGCTTCTTCTCGAATAACCTTGGAAAAGTATCATCCTTGAGAAAGGTACTTGTGACATTTCTCAAGTGGTTGGACGACCCGTCTCAGCATCTCATGCCTCCATTTCTCAGGCGGGGTGCTGTGATGTCCCTCGAGACACCATCTGATTGCTTGGTCAAAGTCGTTTCCCGCTTCCTCGTTGACTTCGTCGTTCCATTTCTGGGCGGCAATGACATCGAATAAGTCTTTCTGTGTGTCATTCTCTCCAACGGGCCAATCATCCTTGCGATACGGTTGGTCTTCGAGTAATTTACCGAAACATAGCTCTAGGAGAATGATGCCTAGTAGTTCCAGTGATCGGGAAGCCTTTATACTTCTGCCATTCGTATTTATGTTGGATGATAATTTCTGTAGATTCTGATCATCCTTAGATCTAACATTGTCCATAAAGTCGCGTTTGAGATGAGGCTGGTCGAGGACAATCGTGCGGGCGCTCTTGTCATTACCGATAAAGACAATGTCCGACTTTTTCCATGCCTCGGGGAGCCAAGGGGTGCCAACAAGCTGTAGAAACGAAGATGCTAAAATGAAGGAGAGTTCGTATCGCTTTCGACGGCTAGGAAATGGTGATACTTCCCTCCGAAGTATTTGATCTATCGTGACAAAACTGTCGGTTTGCTGTTGAGATACCTTGTACACGTAGTATCGGTTGTCATCCTCAGAGAGATAGCCACAAACATCGCCAGTTCCCTGGACTAGGGATTCACAGAGGCTCAAGATTGGATTTCCATGATCAATATGGACCTCGGACGTAGGAAGCATTCGAACTGCCTTTGATCTGATGACAAGTTAGTCTTTAGTCTAGGCGATATGTATTACTACCGCGTAGTTCCAACATACCGTCCTTGCTTTTCTTTGCCATGCGGGTCACTATTTCCCATTGCTGGTCTTATAGGAATGCTAGCTTTATGATGCGGCTCGTGTACAGTAAGACTTGTGACGACAGAACGACTTGCGGGCAATGATTGGGCTCGATTATCATTACCTTCAACCATTAGCACCTTCTGTATATCCCAGCATGAGTGTAGCTGTGTCGCAAATAGGACACTGAACTTCTTTTCTTTGCTAGTTCGATGTTCTAACAGCAACTTTACAATGTGTGGATCGTGACAATTGCAACACCATGCAGATGCAAGAGCTTTGAAAAACACATTGGCTTGTATCCAAAAGTTGCATAAGGCTGAACCATCAATTTTCAAGGCCATCTTTCGATCTTTAACGGCAGCTGGCTCCTTTTCACCCATTTTCAGCAATCCTTCTAGTTGAGAATCATACAGCTTCAGCTTTTCAAACAGTCTCGAGCGAATGCTCCTCCTGCTACTGAATTTTAGTTTATACGCCTGGAATCGAAGGTTATTTTTCGTAGCTAATTCTCTCAAGCGAGTCTTCGACGTTTGAGTTTTCTGGTCACGATTAGTTCTAATAACTAGGTAGGTACCTATTGAGTATCCATAACCTCTTCAGTGACTTACTCGCTTTTGGAGAAATTCTTGTATTACGCCCGCTTCCAAAGCTAGCTCGTCGTCAAAATCATTCAGGGTCTTTCTGGTATGCTCTATACAATCCATGAAAGGTTTGTATGAGTCTTCACCCAATCGATGCATGAGGACATCTGTAATATCCTTGTCGTGCCAACCGTGACCCCCCGGGTCTGATAACAACTCTCCTATCCTCTCTTGATCTTCAGTTAAATCTGATAATAATAGCCTGAGACGGGCCCTGAAAAATGTTTTGCAACATCTAAGGTTATATTCGCATTCTTTATACTCTCTTCTGACATGGAAACTGTCCTCGACTTCTTGGAACTTCCCGAAGGCGGCAAAAGCAATCGGGAGAGCGCCAAGTACGGCACCGGCGATCTCAAAGCCAGACATTGAGTTGTTATGAACCTTATCTTCCCTTTAAGGCTGAGTAGATGGGGATTGCAGCCATTATCGGGCCTGGAAACTGTGAGGGGTTTTGTGTGCAAACTCACCCCTCATAAGTACAGATGCATATAGGCCCAATCACATACTGCCGATATGCAATCTTTGGTACCTATCAAAGGATTTGGGGGAGGGGCCGAGAAAGATAGCCGGCTACCGTGAGCAATTATCTGGCAGCATATTAACATTGGTAGCCTATACAGCTACTATGCAAAGTGCTCCTTGATAATCGAGTCGAAATGTCGCAAAATGATAACATCTTGGAGCGGAGTCGTAAGGTGAAGATACTTTTTATTGACCTTAAAAGTCGACTAGAGGACGATACTAGTGGTGTGCCGTCTCAAGTGTGTCCAGAAGCCATTGAAGATGCTTTAGATCGATTTCTACTATGGTCCGGGAATTTGGGCGCTCTCCATTTACCGGAGAACAAGCTTTCTCTTGACTACCGCGTAAGGGCGGCGCCAGAGATCCGAGACCAGATATGTGAATTCCTCGATGACCTTCGGTTATCCATTGAAGAGTGTAAGGAGAGATACTCTTTTTTACCCTCGCTGCTAATTAATACTATAGTGACGGAAGCAAGTATTCTCAGCACTCTCAATCTAGAGTCTCTGGGCTTGAGCGATGATACGACTGAACTTGGTTCAAAGGATGCAACATCATACACACTTAAACAAGTTTCATCATACGAAGCTCAAAGTCTTCTCGAGGAAATATCTCAATGCATCCGGTCACTTTTTAGGGTTGGAGTATTAATTCGAAAAGCAGTCCCACGGGATCGATTTCAGGAGGCTCTCCGGCGGTCAGACTCTATGTTCCCACCTGCTTTTGACATTGATTATGCAAAAAACAAGCATCCTAAGCTGTGTAAGAATGATATGGAATGGCTAGCGGAGCGGATCGGAAAAGCGAATGCCCAAAGGAGACAATATATTCAATATTGTCGTGATCATAGAACACGACTAGGCAATATACCGGACGAAACGGATAGAGGATCAGATACTAACCGCGAAGATGCGGAAAGCAAAGCCACTACTATGTTTCCAATCGAAGGACCCGAATTAGAGGAAGAAACTATATCGTTGACGACTGCATCAACGATGTTTGACTCAAAAAACTGTCTTAAGTTACCGACATTAGACAAGTTATCACCTGAATTAGAGTCTTTTGAATGTCCTATTTGCTTCACTCTCCAATCATTCACAGCTGAGACAGCCTGGAAGTAAATATTTCTACTCCATGTTAACTGTTCATGACTAATATCCTATAGGGCTCATGCGTTTAGTGACCTTAAAGGGTACGTTTGCACAGTTGGAAGATCAAGCTGTGAGGACGAGTTGTTTAGCAGTCGAAATACGTGGTTCGAACACGAATTAAAAAACCATCGGTCAAAGTATACCTGCCCTGTGTGTAGAACGGAGGTTGATGGCGTAGCGTCTTTAAAATCGCACCTGGAATCGATTCATTGCAACTTTTCTGCCGAGCAAATCTCCAGATTGACCGAGGCAGGTAGGCAGACACCGACTCGCTTCAAAGCCCAAGATTGCCCCTTTTGCGACGAGTGGGCTGAGGGCTTAAAAGAGAAAGGCCGTATAAAGAACAGGTCTAATTCTCAAATTGATGACAACTCGCTTGTTTCAATGTCTCGCTTCAAAAGGCATATCGCTACTCATCAAGAACAACTTGCGATTTTCGTTATACCGCGGTCCGATGAAGGGGTGGACCAAAGTAGTACTTCAAGTTCAAAGAGAGATGAGCTGGTCGCCCCAGAAGCCCCAACTGACATTGTATCTGAGGTGTCAGAGGATTTAGCTTTACCTGTAACCGAAGGAACCCATACCTCATACGGACGTAGCATCGATATTAGGACGGGATGGGAAGGGGGTGGAGGTGGAGGTGGAGGAATCTCAGAGTTGCGCTGGAAATGCGTAAGTTGGTAACCCTCGCAATGTTCTGATCTTTTAACTAACGTCGACAAAGTGCGAATGTGCTTTTACAGGCATGAACTCAACTGTATACAACGAATTTTGTTTACATTGTGGGCATTTGAGATGTTCAAGTTGTAACACCTGGCGGCCGAGATAAGTGACTGCCTAAGGCACAACAATGAAATACCATGAGCTTAATCTACCCATTGACTTCCAAACGATACCTAAATTTCGTATATAACGAGAAGTGTGCTATTTAATAAAGATATCCTATATTTACCTAGGTAATCACTGTGACTTGCAATTATTCGGAAGTGATGTTAGAGGAGTTAAAATTACGTTTGTAGGGGTTTATATCTTGTTCAAGCTTACTTCCTATCAACATTGACTCTCACCATGAAACAATGAAATCGCTTCTACAGCCGTCAATAAGCAAAAGATATGTGCCTCACCAGAGTTCCGACTTACCTGTATGACATGGATTAAACCCAGTTGGTGCTAGATGATGTGCCGCGCCGGATATTCATATAAGGACGGAAACCAGGAGCGGATCCTGGCGCTGAAAATGAAGCACGAGCACTTTATCGCGCTGCTACGAACGGCGACGTTGACAACAGAACCCGGTAGGGGGGTCGCGTCAGGTGATGTCCTCATTCGTCATGTTACGGAATCGCCAGGAGACGGGTTGAAATTTGGATTTGGCCACTATCAACTGTAGACCCCTATCGAATCGGGATTTTTATAATGTAGGCGACCATATGTACCACCCACCACTCCCTAGTCGTACATCTTTATATGATATATACATATAGGTAGTCGATACATTATGAATTACCAGTTTCATCCAACGCCAAGTGTGCTACAATAAACATTCTAGCCCCTAAAGGCTTTAAGTACGGTCTACGTATTTCGGACAACTTTCATCTCCTCGATCTCTTTAGTCTTTGATTTGGACATGCTGGACGAATGGTTCCAAAGGGAAATACCGGTGCAATATCTACCAAACCGAGTAGCCTCCATGGGGAATACGACATTACTCTAGAGTACCTCGTATAAGATACTAATTCCAACATTTGTCACTTCCAAGTAAGTACCTAAGTTATCACTCTACAATATTTGTGGATAACTCTCCATTATATGGTAAGTTTTTATATTGAGATGTTGGGAAAGAAGGTGTTACTGACTACATGGTAAGTGAGAAAATATATCATAAAATAAACCAAGGAGACACCCTTAAGATAATCGTTGCTGAAGAATATACTCGTCCCCAGTTGCTATCCTCAATGACTCTGAGGGATATCAAACATGCCATTATTTTCTGCGTATTCCTCTCCTCGCGGGTATCCATTCCCGGTAATGTCCCAGGAACCAACCAGTGGGTCAAAGGTCAGGCATTCGAGTTCATCGCCATTCGCAGCCTGCCCTCTCGTTGTATCGAATGCTGTTACTTGTTGCGATGATGCATTAGATACATCAAAGTTTGTGTAATATGTCGAGTCGCTCGTGAGGTTTGACGACTCTAGTGATCGCGGCGACAACTCCGTAGGGTATGAATTAGGCAAATAAGGAGCCCTGTGTCCATAAATCGAATAGTCTGGTTGAGCTAGGTTATCCATGTTCGAGCTAGGTAAATCTGTGTAAATTTGTAAATCTGGCAGCGTGGAATAGTATCCTGGAAGCCCTGTTCGGGGCTCATTCGAAGGTAGGTCACTGTTATTGACACCGGTCTCAGCTCCCCCGCTGAACCCTACGTTGACGCCTTCAACGAACCCACCCCAGATAGCTCTGTATATCAGACTGCTTGGGTCATTTGGAGACGTTGCTTGCTCCGGGGTACTGTCAGGTTCGCTTAGTAAATACGATGATCCGGATTGCATAGCGTCTGCCATGGGTGATATTAGCATTGTAGGATTGAAATGGTTGGTTGATTAGCTTACAAGGGAATGGAATATTCCTATCATAGGGGAAGAGAATTCTGTAAATATTTCTCCATTTTTCATGATCTGAGAGGTTTCTCCATCGAGACTTAAGGTCACTTGCCTGCTTTTGACCATACCCTTGGCTCCAATCGTACGACTCGTTAAAGACAACAGGGTCCTGTCTAGTGCAGATATCGTCCTGTTGTAGGTGTTCGTCGACTGCCTTTTCTTTTTCACAAATTTGCTGGCATCTTGGGCACCGAAATATTCTGTGCACGCGTTCAAGGTGCTCTCTTACTCTAGCATTAGTAGGATCAATATAGATAGCACATTCCATTCAACGTACTTCAGTCTAGAAATTTTCCTATAGCTTCTGAAGCAGCATGAAACAGTCGATGCAAACCGTTCCGGGTTCCGTCGGTAAAATGGACAGGCGAAGCTCAAAGGCTGTTCCAATGACCCTGCCTGTGTCCCATGGCCGTTACCCCCATTACCATCGGCAGGCTCATCCTCTAATTCACTGTCGTGATCATCCTCATTACGTATAACGCGGTTTCCATGCCCGTTTCGACCTCTCTTAGCTGGCTGGCCCTGTGACGAGGAGCCTCGGTGGCAATTGTGTGAAGCAGAATGGTCTGGGCCGCAGTATTGAATTAATCTCGATAGGTCGACAGGGGGATTTGGAGTTGGATACTTGGTGAGTACTTCACGAACCACTTCGGTGATCCGCAACTTCAATTTATCAAGCATTTCGTACTGCTGGTCTTGGATGTGTGTACAATTAGGAAGCCTTGCGGTGGCGGTATTAGATTGAACACCCTCTAGAGTAATACTGTCTTGCTCATATCCGAATGATCGGATGGATGGTGAAAATTCCCGGATCACTTGCTCTACAGCCCGCTTCATTTGACAGTATATCTCCTCAAGGTTTTCCTGTGACTGTTTTCTACATGCATCTTCCATCAATACAGGTCCAATTGATGGGTTTGACGCTGCGCAGTTCTTACCACTGCCCCCGGGAGATAGAGGATCTCGTGTTGTATGAACATTACGGCCATATTGTGGGCAAGGTAAGTCTCTCAGGGGGGCCGGCAGAGCGACGTAGTAATTAGCCGGGAGCTCTCCCTTATTATCTTTTAACTTCTGGGAGGCAGGTAAATCGATGTCACGGCTATTCCTGCAATCAAGACAGTTCCACGTGAAACGTTTGAATAGTTCATAGACATCATCGATAGCAGGCCGCTCCTTTGGGCTCTCGGCCATCATGCTAAGAATGAGATCCAAGTGCTCGGTAGAGAGGTGTTGATCTTCAGCAATGCCAGAAGAGCCGTGCGATAATGGTACCAAACTTGTGTCACTGCGAAGTGATTCTTTGAGATCGCCAACCCAGCCTCTAACCTTGTAAAGGGACTGATAGTAACCTTTTGGCTGTCGGTCGAAAATAGCCCCATGCATTACCTTCAGGCTTTTCCCAAGGATAATAGTGACCATTTCGAGGAAGACACAGCCCAAGGAGAAGATATCAGAAGAAAGATCGCGATCGCATTGGCTCACGACTTCTGGAGGCGCATATCTCTCGGTGAATGGTGTGTGGCCTCCTGTGACAGTCTCGTCCTCATATTGCTTCGATATACCGAAATCGGCCAAGTGAACAGATCCAAATTTATCGACCAGTATGTTTTCCGGCTTGATATCTTTGTGCTTGACTATTTTCGAGGTATGCAAATACATAACCGCGGACGAAAGGCAGCCGATAGCAGTCAATAGCATCTGATGGAGTTCCATCGTCAGTCTTGGCTCTGCTCCTGATGCGCTCTTTAGGAGCTGACCAAGATTACAGATCGCAAGCGGGTATATGATGACGCCAAAGTGATTCGATCGTTGGAAATGGCCAACGAAAGCGACAATGTGGTTGTGTTCTAACCCCTTCATGATTTGCAACTCCGTTGGGAGCTCGCTAGAGTCTTCCTGCCTATCCGCCCGAAACAGTTTGATAGCCAAGGCGTCTACTAGGAAATCCCCTTTTACACTAAATGCGGCACCCCAAACGGAACTCGAACCACCGTAGTCGATTAGTTGACATCTGTCATTTTGATGTCGTAGATCACCTGGAACACCCTGCTTCAAACTGTCGATTAGGGGATTCCAGTTTATGAAATTCACTTTCTGCAGAAATCGGTACATCCTCATTTGTGAGGTGTATGGCGTATTACTGACCCTCTCGGAAAAAGACTCGGTAGCAGTAGGAGGACAGTCTACCTCGACTAACCTGTCTAGAGAGGACGACGGTGAACATGAAAGGGGTGTTGAAGTGAAACTGTGACCCGGAGCGGACTCTATATCGCTCTCAGGGTCCTCGATGTTGTCTTGTATATTGTTGGGTAAATCGGGGATGGGAATGGCATGACGTGAATCCTCCCATGGTAGACTACCAAAGACCGTCGCCCTCGAATATGAAGCTAAAAAGATATCGCGGATGAGGCTAGGCTTCACAGGTTGTGTCAAGGTTTTTCTCGGGTCGGTATATTTCCCATAGGATCTACCCATAGCTGTACCCTCTGTAACAGCCTTGTAAACCCATGATTCCATTCCCAGCTTAGTGTTTGAGAAATGCTATATCACCAAAAGATCGGTGCTAAGCTGGTTTGGATCAAGTAAAAGAAATTCTCCGAATCCCATGTCAACCATATATAGTATAATCGCAAGAGCGATACTAAACAGCATTTAAACCCCCTTTTATTTCTCTGTCGTTTTTCACAGCCTTCCAATATACCTCTCCGGGACAACGCGGACCATAACATGCATTCATGCATGTTATAACTCTCATTCGCGAGTTATGGCGTTATGCAATGCAACCCAACATGTGTGTAGTACAACGCCCTATTACATAAAACGTGCGGAAATTCGTTGTTCGTGTGGCTTTTAGTCCCGTATCATGATTATAACATCACCCTTAAGCATACACTTCTTCCCGATCCCTAACCCGAGGTATTATTTATTGGATCATTTAGCGGATCAGTTGATATTCTATTTTTGATAAATTAGTTAGACGAGCATCTCACGTCTCACCTTTATGTCATACCACTGTGTTCAACACGGGAGCACTAATATGATTTTGTGGCTTCCTCTGACGCAGAAAGCGGTCTAGATTAATTATTACATGTATTATGTCCTATTTGATAGTACACGCCCTCGTTTGAGGAAGATATATGCGGCTCGGCGTTACTCGATGACAATATGTTGGTTCCTAGGGCTAAAATTAAATATATTTAGTCTCACGATGAGGATTTACTTCTATGTAGGACTGTAACATCTAAGTTAGACTTTAGTAGGCACCTATTAATATCTAATGCGAAGTATGCCTAATTCTACATTTTTATTTACCTAGATATCTATAGAAAATAGGACAATATGGTAATACTCATATTAAAACCACAAACGTGATAGGAAGCATGATACGTATCCGACGTATGAGTTTATATTCGTTTATATTCCCCCCTGAATCTGAGGCCGTTTAAGTCGATATCGCAATAACGCGCAGAAAGTTTTACACCCCTGTCGAGTATCACCAAGACACGCTAACCCGATACGGAACGTCGCACGGGCATCGAAGCGCTGCTGTCTCGCATCTCCGCCCAGAAGTCCGCCGATCAGCGACTGCCTACCGCGGGAAAACTTTCATTCCACCTTCTTTCCCCCAGTTCATCCCGAGCTTACGCCCGTCGTCGTCGTCGTCATCTTCATCAGCCATCTTCATCAGTCGATTGTATAACATCAGATACCAAATAAGACATAAAAAGAATAAAAAGAAAAAAAGGGGAAAAAGACAAATAAAGAAGAGAAGGAAAAAAAAAAAAAAGAATAAAAATATGCGCCCAGGAAACCGGCCAAGAGAGATCCACACCAAACACCTCACCGAGCGCGAGCGCTTCCGCGTCCGGACCCTCTACTACGACGCCTCCATGAGCAAGAAGCGCATCGAGGAAGTAACCGGCTACTCCCTCAGCCAGATCCGCACCGCCATCCGCGCCAAGTCCTCCGCCATCCCACCGCGTTCCGGCCGTCCCAAAAAAGGTAACCCCCTCCCCTTAGATATCTTAGGTTATGTAGATTAGGTAGTTATGTTATATACCTACCTAGGCAGTTAGGTACTGACCAATCACAGGAGGCAAAGACCACTCCGCAACCGACGACGCCGGCCCCTCCTCGGAAGGCTTCGCGTCGGAGGACTCGGCCCTGGTGCCCCGGAGCAACAGTCCTCAGGAGACGCTCCAGCCGCAGACCGCATCGTCTCTAGACCGGTTGCCGCCCGCGCTGCGGCGCTACATCTGGCAGCTCGTCCTGACGTGTGCTCCCGCGACACGTCCGCTGTCCTGCGTATGGTGGGTCGAGAAGCTCCCGCAATATCCGTGGCTAGTCACGGGGGTATTCCCAGAGCACTGGGAGACGCACTGGCGCGAGTACCTCGAGCACCGACAGCCTGCGGCGCGGCTGCTGTGCCGCCTAAACCGGGAGGCGCGGCAGGTTGTTCTCGATACCTTTGTGCCCGTGTGGTCTGAGGCCGGGCTCAAGATGTTAGGGTCCACCGTTAAGTTCCTATGGATCGACCCGCGGCACGACAAGATCTACTGCAAGGACAACGCTGCCGCTCTGCCGGATTTATTGGATAAGTCTCGAGCTGCTGTGCTACCGGATTTGAGCCGTTCGCCTACTGGCCCTGCTGATAGTAATAGTAATCATGGCAGCGGTGGCAGTATCCAAGGGTGAGCGCAAGGTACTGTCTTGATCTGTTTCCTGTCACTTTTCCCCATGCTTACTAGAGGGGGTTACTACTACGTTGCAACTGTGAAATAATTCTTTGTTCGGGTCGTGAAGCATCATAATGACTTACAGAAACGCGTATAGATTTGCCTACACAGGTACTAATATCAACGGCACTTTATTATTTTGCGTGCATGCAAATACTACCAAGCCAATCAAAATCAATTGTGAGCTCGTCTAGCAGATATATGCCTTGCCGGCCTACCTAGGTCCTAGTCTACCTTGAGGTATTGTAAACCCAACTAATTCGCAATAAACTCCCCGCCAATGCAACCATGTCTCATAATCCACGACGCAAGAAATCGGGGTATATCAGGATCGTATGGTAGGTACCCATCAGTACTAATGTGAAGCTTGCCCACCGTTAATAGGAGACGCTTCGGCCGAGTCGAACGCTACACCCTCGATCATCTCAAAATCCTGACTCGCGCTCCGGGAATTGTTGGCCTCAAGTTTATGACGCTGCGGCACATCAACCAGGTCATCTTTTATCTCATCTCGAACGTACGCAACATAATATGGATCACCCGTCTCGTTCAGGTCGCTTAGCACAGCCTCTGTGCCGCGGTTATCTTCCGTCACCGTCTCGTCGTTGTATCGATACCAGACATTGCGTTTAAAGTCTCGAATCCAGACCCAATAATGCCCCGCGGATGTACCACCGCGATGACAGATTACAGCGTGGATACTGTATTTCTCCTTCTGCATGGCGTCGAAAATCGTCTCCTCTTTCTGACGCAGGTAGAGAAGTTCGTTTCTAGTCATCTCATCAAAAGGCTCAGTGGCCTCCCAGGACATATCAGCGACTCTGTCGCAGAACGAATAATCAGTAAATGACGCCGGGGTAGCTATCTTCTTGGATATTCCATATTCCAGTAGTTCAGGTAGCTTATGTTTCAGTCTCAAGTCATCGGAGAATGCTTGTTGCACATGTGCGTCCTCGGCGTTGTCGAGGGCCGATGTTACCATAGTCGTTATATCCTCAATATCCGCTTCCTTAAATTGCTTAGTCCGTGTTAGCACTCTCATCACGCTTTAAACTATATGTTGGGAATATCACGAACATTATACTGTTGAGACTGTGTAGGGACATCTCGAACATCCTGCGAGGGTTTCGCCTCAAGCTCCTTTATGCGCTCCTTAAACGCCCACGACCTTTTGCGAGCAAGCCACACCGGCGATCCCTTCTCAGCCTCCATATAACGATCGAGGCATAAAGTCTCCGGTATGATAACAGGGTTCTTATTCTTGCCCTTCGGTGTGCTTCTTTGGATGCAGATGTGCAGAATGGGAGGGAGGGATCTGATGCTACTATAACGTGCGCGATCCCCGCTGTCGATTGGCTCATAAGCGAAGTACCGATCCAAAGCGGCAAACAATGTACATCGCACATTGTTTGCTCCGCCCGTGTTACCAGCTGTCCCCTCTGGCGCTTGAATGGCTTCCTCGGGATATGCCGTGATCCACCGCTCCGGAACAATCTCGACGTTCAACGGATCCTCTTCTAGGTGAGAGACCAGATCGCTAGCCGGGTTTCCCTTCCTAGTCTTAACAGTATAATTAACTATTGTAGTAAAGAACGTCTCCGTAATCTTGTCTGCTTGTAATTCCGGCTTTTCCGGCATGGGGCCGTCCGGACGAATTGCCCGCATGAAATGCTCAAGTATATTGCCGATAATTTCCCCGACATCCTGCTGCTCTGTCCCTGATCTATCCGAGCGTTCTAGCTGACGCGAAACTTCTGCCATTCTATCATCGAGGGTCCAGGATTCGATTGAATCTTGCATCATGACATCGTCTTGTGGCTGCAGAACGGGGGCATTGTCATCCGGGGTTTCCAACTGAGCGTACGACATCGGTGCATCTCCCCCGTCGTCAACAAGCGTTTGGGAACTCCGGGAACTAGCCATTTCGAGTTTATCATTTACCGACTCCACTGTGATGCTCACCGTGTCGTTAGTCACTCCGTTTGCTGCATCGGGATTATCCTTGGAGAACACCGGGGGTGCTGGCGACGGGCGTGCTGGCAGTGGCGGAGGTATATTCTGGGATCGCTGGTCTAGAATGTCTCTAGCTGACGATAGTGCAGTGTTCGCAAGTTTCTGCGAAGGCTGCGCGGCGGCTTCGGCAGTTGTTTGTAAATCGGTAAATAACACCTGAAGCATCTCGACAACTGTCTATAGGTCAGCATCTCCTAACAAATATAGCAAACGAGGAGTCGCTCACATTGTCTAGCGACGATGGCTTCTTCGATATTAACGCTAGTGCCGTTTCCTCCCGTCCGACGTTGTCCAACCGTCTCCTCGTCAAGGTCAAGCTTTACCGAGTCGAAATTCAAGACTATGTCGCGTATGATCTTGACGTTGTAGAAATATTGTAAAAGACTATTTAAGTAGCACGTGTTGCCGATGTTTTTTAGACCAGGAGGTGTATTAACGGAGTTTCCTAGTATCGGTGATGCATGAAGTTGGGATGTTAGCATCGGTGCATACCCAGTCATCTTGACAAATTCGGCAATCTGCTGCAGCTCTGCGGCTTCTTCAGGTTTATCTTGCTGTCGCTTAAGTTCAGATAGGACATCGATAGCTTCAACGATCTTAGTTTTGTCTGCGTTTTCGTCCTGGTGTGATATTAGAAAGACACTAGGTAGAAGCATCAAAAATACCTAAGGCACTTACCTGCACCCGCTGTTGGACAAAGCCCCTAATGATCTCCGCCGTCCAGTCTGACTCCACACCCAGGAGATTTGTTGCTGAGGAAATGCTCATTCTTCTCCCTAAAACATTAGGAAGCGATGTCATAAGTCCCGACTCCCCTGTTGCCCCCGAAGCTTTCAGGTCGATTGCCCTCACAAGATCCCTTCCCAGGTAGCTACCAATGGCCTCGAGGTGTTGTTGGGCTTGGGCTTTAAACTCATCAGTCCTGTCATATTTAGCCATCTCATAGTACTTGTCCAAAAACCAATCCGACGTCGTGTCATCGTGGGGAGAGGTATGGAAGAACGCGAAAGCTTCCTGCACCCTCATGTCAATAGGGGATGTCTCGTCGAATCGGGACCTGTACATGATGATCTCAGTCGATGCATCATCACTACGATTCTGAATGCAACGCAGAGCGGCATCTAGATATTCGTCACGGTACCTGGGGCGCAGTCCAGCTAGGAGAATAGCAGCCCAGCTGAAATATAAAGGCGGGTACATTGCTAAACAGCCTAGTAGGGCCAAGTCTGGTTCTGTGACTGTGGAGATATTGGCGTCGACAGGCCCGTTAGGAAAGTCTCCTTGGAATACCTGCAGCAGCTTATCCCATGCAGGGACTGTTGCCTCGCTATTAATAATGTCGAGCTCTATCTGCGCATCCTCCATTCGGGCTCGTAGCGTTCGGACTGGGGTCGGGTTCTGTTCCTTGTTAGGGGGGGTAATGAGCCAACATGGCTCGCCGGTCTCTGCGTCTTCTCCCTCGCAAAACCCTAAATATTTCAGGAGATCATCGAAATCACTACCCATACACACAGAGAACTTCTTGTTGCGCTTGTTAATCCTCAACGGCTGATCACTGGTAGACTGGAGTGAGTCTGAAAGGTATCTGCGGAGTATAGTCTCTGATTTCATGGTTGGTACTTCGTTGAAGTCCGAGTATCGTTCTGGATCCCCCTCTTTTGCAAGGATCAGATTTCGTGTAGTTCGGTCATTGTCATAGAACTTAGCTACATCTTCCGGCGGAATCCTACAAGGTAGGACGGATATCTCCACGTTGAATAGGCATCGATCAGCCACACAGATGTAGCGAGCATAACCAACCGTATCATCGTAAATTACCCGGTTTTCCCCAAGGTCATCCGCAGATTTTCGGCAACAAAGAACGAGCATATGATGGCGATGCTGGTCATTATACGGCTGAACAGGCTTGAAATTGCTCTGAACGTGGAAATGGTAGCGGCATCGACAACAAACAATAGAAACAAAGCAGGTTTTTTGGCCTTGGAACGACTGGGTTGCAACCAACTGCATTTCATGACTTGTACAATGAAAGTTGAAGTCAAGATCCGGTAGCTGAGAACCGAGGAACTGACGAAATAAGCGAGGAGATGTGAGGGCTGAGACTTATCAGCAGTGCTTCATCAAATCTAAATAGCTTTACGGGCACGTATAAAAACTCACGTTGAGGATTCGGTAGATGTTGTAGACTACGTATCGCTACCGACTGGAGTTGGCGGAGCTCTACCGCATCATCTAGCTCGTTGATGGGGGCCATGGTATCAACTAATCCCTCGAAGGCATGTAATCTAACAGGCGGGTGTTGATTAAAATGAACGGCTTGGTCTAATCTAAGCGCGTTGCTGAACAAGATTTTACGCCGTGGGCGCCTTTTACTTTTGGATGTCAGAAAAGGCATCTTGAGAGTAATTGCTATAAAAGAGTAGAGAGCGTTGGGAATTTAGGTAGCAAGCAGCGACTGAAGTGCAGGCATGAGGAGATGCAGAAATATCAAAAGCGTAGACCAACCTCGTAAATATAGGCAAATCTAGAATAGAGTCGACATGAGTGCTCTACTTGCAACGCAAAGTTTATCTCTAGCTTAGAGCGCCGTCACCCTAGCCTGTTGGTATAGCTATCGGAGGCGAGTAGGGCTGGTCGCAGTCCCTAGAACATGTACATTAGCATAGGACATAGCTATATATATGGTAACAGATTAAAGTAAAAGCGAGTCCAGGTCCAAGTACTCCCTCCTTGCCTCGAGTACACTTGTACGCTCAAGCTCCATACATAGTTCCCTTAGCCCTTATCTAGGATCTGGAGTCTGGGGTATATGGCCGCTTTCATGACAGAAAGGGGTTAAGTTCGACTATGTCTCCTTTTCCTTCCAACAGATAGACCAAACTCAATACTGATCTATGGAGTTCGTCTATGATAGGCCAACGTCCGATACCGAGATCTCAGGATAGGTGCCAACCGTTTAACACCTCCGGACGACCATCATGAGCTCATGCCGAAGTCAAACTCACTAGGCAGCTGTAAGAGCACAACCTGGAGATAAAGCCATCCTAGTTAAAAGTAGACCTACAGTCTCCAGTTTCCAACCGAAGGTATTGAACTGAGCTGTGACTAAGAGTTGAAATAGACAATGCTCTAGGTTAGGGGATCTATGCCTCCTCACAAAAGTAACGAACACAAAAAGAAAATTAAAAAAAGAAGAAAAAAACAAGAATATCTTTACCTTGAACAGAAGGATTCGGTGTTCTCATAACTAAAGGGGTATGGTCCAACTGGTCACAAAGATGGCGTTAGAATTAGGATGAGACAAGAAGAATAGAGGCATGGAATAATAGAAGCATGAGCTCACAGTTGCATCCCAGTGCACTCGATCAACGATCAATGGTGTTAAGTCAAATCAAGACAGGGGCCTAAAAAAAGAATCGGGGGGGATAAAAAAAGAAAACCAAAGAAATAATTGCGACGCAAAGCGCAAAACGCACGTAAACGATGCTCCAGGCAGTCCTTAACAGGGAAGGCGCGCGTAAGATAGAGAGAGGTTTTAGCTTTAGTGATTATTCAGAAAAAGCTGAGGAAACTCCATAAGGAAAGATGCGTAGTCCTCGATTTTGGAGGCAACTGAGTAATGCGCTAGTTATTAGGTTAGGATCATCATCTGGGCAGTAAGCTTTCTGAGGATTACCAAAGCAGCTCCAAGGTAGGTAGGAGGTACCTATGTACCAGAAGACCGTGCATTATGTTGCTTTGGGGTTTTGCTTGGGGTTTGGAGGGGCTTATCGCTTATCTCGGGTACCAGAATCTTCCGCCACCAAAACAATCAATCAGGCGGGTCTACCTGACGTCCACCTTTGTTTCACCCTTGTACCGCATAAAACATTAAACCAATCGGTAAATCTCCGGTAATACGGAGCTGTCAACTTCGATATGATATGAATTCTTTTACACTCAAGCCTAGTTACTCAGAGCCAGTATACACTGGATATATGTGTACGTATACATTTAATGTATAAATCTCCCCTAGGACAATCAATACTACCTACATACAGGTGAAAACCTAACCAGAATCTTATACGTTCTTCTTACAGCTATCTACATACATTTGAGGCTTTACGGTTTATAATATTGGAAGTACTTGGCTACATATCTACTAATAGATAATTTTATTCGACCATAAAAAAACTTATTATATATCAGTACTGTACGGCCGAAAAGATAACATAACCAAATAGTCTACCTAACGTAGCTAACCTTCATAAAGGGGTATGTAGTAGAGACAAAGCTCCGGCAACGAGTAATATACACCTAGGTAGATACATGTTTTAGTGTACATGTATATTTGAGTTTTGGAAGTAAAATAAGCGGAAAGAGTAAAGAGAGCCAAGGGAGTTAAATACGTAGTTGTCTTGTTGGTGACTCAGTTACCAAAGCCTGCGTGGCGCGTAGCTTAATATTTATATATTTCCCAACAACTTAGGTTAGAAGCTTGCCTAGGTACTTACGTATGAACCTATAAATTATAAAATAGAAGCCACATCCCCGATTGTATGAAGAACTTTTGTAAACCACCACCTACACAAATTATTAACCATCAACTATCAATATCACTTTTTTACCGTAAATCACAACTATATAAGTACCTTCTAGGTATTCATTCATCTATTCAACTCAAAAACGCGACAGATTTTAGCCTAAGACATTGTATCGACTATCTATCACATCAACTTCAACTGGTTAATTTGCTACTATAATTAATCACTAAACGTTTACTTGTTCAATTCGAAAACACGTTAAATACCTGTTACTACTCTAAGATCATCATGGCTATCCAAACTCGCTTCCTAATACTCTCTGACACGCACGGAGAGAACGTGTCCAACATACAACACATTGGTGCCGATGTGGCTATCCACTGCGGCGACCTTACCGAAGAATCAAAAATCGACGAATTCAAAACTACTCTTCAACTTCTCAGAAGCATCAACGCGCCATTAAAGCTAGTAATTGCAGGAAACCACGACTTCACTACCGATATACCATTATTTAAGAACAAGGTCGCCTCAAATCCAGACTTACAGCCAGAGGAAGTAAAAAGGTTTTATGGGGGCTTTGGCGAGATACATCAGCTTTTCGAGGACGCAAAAAGCGACGGGGTGGTTTTCTTGGAAGAAGGCACACATCGCTTCGAATTAGGAAATGGAGCAAAGTTAACAGTCTACGCCAGCCCCTATACACCGTCGCTAAGTGACTGGGGTTTCCAATACAGTCCTCAAGAAGGACATAACTTTTCTATCGAGAAAGGGGTTGATATATCAATAACACACGGCCCACCCCATGGGATAATGGATCTCACCGACTCGCGACGCAGGGCAGGGTGTCCCCAACTTTTCGGTGCTGTTGCTCGAGCCCGCCCAAAGCTACACTGCTTTGGTCATATTCACGAAGGATGGGGGGCGAAGCTGGTCACCTGGAGAGAGAAAACCAGCGAGGTACCATCGCATTTTACCGACATCGACAACGAACAATCGGCAGTAATCGGGAAGCTATCAAATCTAACCAGCTCCAAGTTCGATACCCCCGAAATAGTGGAGGAAAAATTGAAGGAGAGGGCGGTTCTTAGCCGCGAAGGATGCATCAAGACCAGCCACTGTACCGGCGATGAGAATCCCCTTAGGGCCGGCTCACAGACACTCTTTGTTAATGCGACAATCCAAGGAGAGACTGAAGAATACCCTATGCATGTACCCTGGTTGGTCGACCTTGAAATACCAGAGTCATTCTTATAAGGATTGGGTACACAGAAATTATAAGAGCGTGTATATTGCACACGTTTTGGTTTGGAATCTCGGAGAAGTGGTAGGCATCCCAGACACATCCCACCGGACAACGAGGACAACGAATCAATCTGGCAGAGACCGAAGAACACCGGCCCTACGTCACAGACGCCAAAGGGCCCTAACTCATCAGGGAGCAAACGGGATGGTGCCGTGAGGCACTAGTAAACTGAGACGACATATATCTACCTCTTCGTCAGCAATACGACTACGACGTCTAGTCTACAATTACTTCATATAGCCCTTCGATCTCGATAACTCTACATTATCATTTGGTTCGGGACTATTACACCATCATTAGCAAAGCTCTTCAGCGAAGACTCACGAATCTCCCGCATCCTACATGACACCGGCCATCGAACCATTTGAGGTTTCGATTAGTTTTTACAACAACCCACACTTACAAACTCAGGCCCCCAACAAACACCTCTTTGAGAATGAACTACACTTTCGAAACAAGTTGGCTACCTGGCGTCGGTGCCGGCACTAAACCAGATATAGTAATGCTATGGGTAGGTAGGGGCTGTGGGATGCTATAAGCAGGAGGAGATGGAATACCGAGGTAAGAAGTGGAGGGTCTCTTATGACAAGCGAAGCTATAGTTCTATCTCCCTTGAAAGAAGTACTCTAGACGTCTTAAGGCGCTAGATACGCTCGCTGTAGCTACCTAGCTTATAACAGCAATTGACATTAACATTATCGTCATCATCACCAGCCACTTAGCCATTCGAATCCCCGTGCTCTAACAAGATGAAAAGGTAGATACAAGTACATACTTTATTCGCAGTTTATGCAAGATTACGTCGGTTAGGTATATAAGTGTAGCGAGAGAGGGTCAAGTATTGCCAGAGCTTTTGTACATGTAGTGAAGAAGATTCGGAGTACATTTGTAAGCGCTCCATTTGTCGTGGATCGGTTATCGAATTAGCAGAAGTAATCACGTGCGGCCCACTTGGCGGGGGAAAAGGCCCGGAACAATTGGAAGATTCCAATCCGATCAAGCTCAAAGCTTAAGAGCCGCTAGTCAACGACCTAAGCTGCATCACATAACCTGAGGTCTTCTCCCTCACATAGTTACATAATTACATCAACCATTCCTACAACCTCGAGTCCCATCCCGAAACCAGCCTCCTTCGGGCTTGAGTCAAGATGGCGAATCCGCATTCCGTCCAGGCCGAACCGAAGGAGCACCACTTCCACCAGCGCGATGCCATCAAGTCGGGCATAAAAGGCGCTTTGATCGGCGGAGGTGCCGGTTTTGTTACCTCGGCCGTGCAGAATTCCCTCGCGAAGCGCAACGTCGGCGTCTGGGGCGTCTTTAGCAGGACTGGTAGCACTGTTGCTATGTTTAGTACGTCTTTTTTCTGGCCCGATTGCTTAGTAGAGAGCTGTTGTCGCGAATAGGAAGCTGACTTGTAAACCCCCATAGCTGCCCTCGGTACCGTATACACATTCTCTAAAGATGCTGCTGCAAACTTGAGAGAGAAGGATGATACACTGAACGTGACGATCGCTTCTTTCCTCGGTGGTGCCACGATCGGTCTTAGGAGTGCGTTTTTCACCACCTAATCATGTTTTGCAATTGTCCTCTTCGCCATACTAATTTCGCTGAAATAATTAGCCGGCCGCATGCCACAAATCCTCGGCTTTGGTGCTGCCTTCTCTATCATCATGTCCGCCTTCGAATATACAGGCGGTAGCCTACGCGGCAGGCCCCGCACCGAGGTCTCCAGTATGGATGAGTACGACCGCAAGGAGTACCTGCGGAAGAACCGACGGCGGCCAATCGAGGAGACTATTTCTAATATTGGAGAAGGAAGAGGTACCTACTTGCACCAAACTATGCCACGCCTTGCTATATTATCATAGTACGGCTATCACTGAAGAAGCACACTAACAAAATCAACCCTCATAGGCATCAACCCTCCGGGCTACGAGGAGCGCAGGCGACAGCGTCTAAAGGAGAAGTACGGCGTTGATATCAACCCCGTTTCAGCAAACACGCAATAAGCAGATACATCCTGCAATCATATATTCAGGCCAAACGCCTAGGAGCAGACATTACCTATGTACTGAGGAGCTCACCTGAAAACACTGCTGACAAGTCGCTCCTATTATTAAAGCGACAGCTATTATACGGGCTCTAAGGTAAGTATAGAAGACCACAAACAAGAGGGATACCTGTACATATAGAATCGCATATCCTCATGTGTTCTAACCAACTTCCGCTTCCATACTACAAATGGTACATTGGTGAACTAGTCTTCGGCTAAGACACAGCCCTTGACCCTGTGGTAAGTCAACCATCCTCTCATTTTCTCTTACTATGCCGCCTTTCTATGATGAATTTCTCTTTAAGAGGCTGTTTATGACTCGTGTTTCACGAATATGATTCATCCAACACACCATTGTTCTATCTTTCCTGATTATTGTCTGGCACGCAAAATTCTTGTTACTCGAAGCTGCTATGTGGAACTGAGGCTAACGGGCACGTTTCCAGATCACTTATGCCTTTTGTGCTTGTATATCGGTACCAAAAAATAGTAATTTTCATTAATGCCTCTTGGCTGGTTTGTTCACATTCCGACTTTAGGGAATCCCTGCCAAAACAACAAACGCTTAAATGCTAGCTAGCCCATCGTCCTCGTAAAATAATTCCAAGAGGGTATGCAATTCTATATACAAGCTACTCTGTAGAGAAACCAAAAACCCTATTCCGTTATGCATTTCTGCACGTAGCTGCATGTCATGCGAACCTTTTGGAACCACTTGGTCCTGCGACTTATTAAACTCCCAAAAATCAGTAAAATTATCGTAACTATTCCATACGGCCCAACTTGGACCAATCCTCGGAAGCAGTTCTTCCAAAGCATATGAAGTAAACACATTGTAACGAGGGTTGGAGATATACTCAATAGAAACTTTGTAAATCTGGTCCGGGGCCGCCCACAGGCCGCGACTGCGTCGGGGGTCCTCCTTGAGCCGACCATTGTCCTTGCTGCGGGAATGGCTGGCCGTACTGCGGAGCAATCGGCAGAGGAGGTTGAAGTTGAGGCGGGCCGCCTTGTAACGAGGGAAAAGTGTCATCGTACGAGACTGTCGACGAGTTGAAACCACTCTGGGGGTTCTCACGTGTCTCCACGTCGTCCAAGGAGCGATAACCATGTGCTCCACCTCTACCACCTCTTCCGGGTCCCTTAAACCCTCCTCGACCACCGCCGCGGTTACCTCTAGGGGCACCGCCACCCCTGTAGCCGCCACGACCACGGTTCTCACCTCCTCCGCCTCGTCCTTGATGGGTTGAAGTATGATAATCACGAGAATTATTACTGAAGTTCCCACCGTGTTGACGTGAATGGCGGTCATCGTCACCCGGGAACTTGCGCTTCGAGCCCCTGTGTGAGAATCTCTCCTGTTGGCTGTCGTACTGATCTCTGTCTTGGTCTTCGCGCTCGATGCGAAGCATGTATTTCTCGCCCACCGTTGTCTCGAAGACGAAGGATTTCTCGGGCGGTATTGGCTGCCAGTTCCGGATTTTATTAACGTCTGGTGGGCGGGCCCCTCTTCTCAAGCCTAGGACGACAGAGGGCGATGGGTTGTCCGTGTGGTAAGTAGCATTGGCAGGCACAGGCCTCACGCGCGCCGCCCAGATGTTACCCTGGATGGAACCAATATCAACAACTTCCCACTTCATCTTGGAGTTCATGCCGCCTATCTTGTCGAGGATGGGTTTCGGGCAGGGACGTGGAGTGATAAGAATGGTGTTAGCAAGATACTTCAAATCTGTAACCTCCGGCACCTGCAAATTTAGAAGCCCGATAAGCCGTTTCGTGTCGGCTGGCGCAATCATATAACTCGTGAAGAATACGGTCTTCTTGATGGCTAGACGCCCACTGCGCCCACTTCCCGCTCGGGCTTTGACCAGTTCGTTGTGAACATTGATAAGATGTTGGACTTCGGCTACCTCGACAACGGGGTCGAGAGTAGTAGACAGCTCGGTAACTGGGATGACCTCGGCGATCATTGAAGGTTGACCAAGACTGATTCGCTGTGCATTGTAATCGGCCAGGAAGTCGCGAAAGCCGGTAACGTGTTTTGGGCGATCCTCGTAAATGCGTATCTCCATCGCTGCTTTGTAAGTTCCCATTACCGCCCTAAGGAAGGTCTGTTTGAAGTTCATGGTATTCGAAAATCGCTCGTTGTTGGGTCCAACGGAGGGCTTCAGACCAATCAAGTCGAATTCCAGACCTTTACTCGCAACGATTCGCTTTATGAGTTGGGAGAACCCATGCTCAGAACGTCCCGTCAACAGGACACAGAGAGCATCGCTCTGCTTCATGCTCAGACGGACCAGCTCCACAATCTTCTCGTTCCACCAACCATCCCAAGCTCGCTTCTCTTCATGCTCTACGCCTTCGCCAGTCGCAGCTAATATTCTCGAATCGTGCCACCAGCCGCCGTTGACAAAAACATCAGGGGTGCCTAATAGGCCTAGAGTCGAGCCGTTCCATATCTTGGGGTTTGGTAGTGGGGTTTGGAATACTGGAGTCGCTCATAGTTAGTTGTAGAAGGGCAAGGAGGTGAATGTATGGGAAGGCGAACGGGTATTATCAAAGTCGTAAACGTGGACAGTATTAATTTCATTAACGGCTGGGGTTTACTGTTAGCAGGAAACACTATGAACACGGTATATAAACATGGTATATATTGGAGACGTACGAGGCAGCTTCTTATTCTGAATAGACCACCGACTAAGAGATGTAAGGGTATAGCCGTGACCAGCGCGGCCAGCTTGCTCGAGCGCCATGTTGAAGCGTAATAGTAGGCGCGTGGGTAGTCGGACGCTGCGCGGCATACACAATTAATTAAAGTGATGATTGCATTTCGAGTTTTACAATTAAAGATGTACTCGGAAAAAAAAGAAGGAAAAAATCTCGAAGCGAGATGCTTCGATTAGGTACTTGAATGCAATGAACCGAAGTTGTTGCCGGTTGCAAGTCTTGAAATGATATTTGACCTGTCGCAATTACATATGTCAAGGACTACAAAGTACATGCATGTACCTTAGGAGGTACCTAGCCTTATCGCATTCTTATCTCAGACTTTTAAAAGCACCCTTGCAGCTGTCAAGCTGTACATACAATAATCCGTACATAAATCGAATGGCCTAAGCTCCTTAAATATACTTGGTTACTTGCATAAACACATGTGATAGGTCCACTAGCAGTTCCCATCTCTCGTCAAACCTGTGATACAACATTATTTACCTATTCAACTTGGACCTTTTCTAACCAAGCAACAAAAAAAATAAATAAAAAAATAAAACAATATCAATCAGAACACAGCTACAAAGCTACAATGAAAACATGGCCGCCCGCAACGCCATAACCCTGATCCAGAAGTCCAAGCCTTCCTCGCCCGAGATACTACAGCTGCGGTGCCACATACGGCCCGGCGCAAGCAAAGTACGGGAGGGAGTTGCCGCCGTCACAGATGAATCCGTCGAGCTGTGCGTAGCCGCTCCGCCGCAGGACGGCAAGGCAAACAAGGCCGTTATTGAGATGTTAAGCGAGGTAAGCGATATCAAGAACAACTTTCCACATGGTGTAAATATCATATCTCTTTCCTGTATATACGCAGTGTAGGTAGGTAGCTTATAAGCCTTCTTGGGCTGTTGTGTTCTCTAGGCTGTAGTATAAGATTTTCTTGTTGTATCAATATAGAACGTATTAATTATACTTGATAGGTAAGACTTCATCTAACAACACGTCTCCAGATCCTAGGCGTCGCAAAGTCGGACTTGCAGATCACCCATGGGATGAAGAACAAGGATAAGACCATTAGCATCGCAAGCGCCTGCTTCCGGCGGGACAAGGACGGGGAGAGCGATGAGGACCTAATAGCTATGGTAAAGCAGAAGCTCCTCGGCCAGGAAGCATCGTAAACGCAAGTTGCGACAAGGGCGTCAAAAAGACCAACAGTTTGATGGTATGATTCATGCCCCAGCCTCAAATAATGTAAAATGCCCAAACTCCATGCCTATGTCATAGTGCCGAGTGTTTACCAACAAACCATAACAACCAAAATAGCTGAGAATATCAAGTTTATAATCTCTCCTATAACAGGCATCTATCTTAGGTACCTACCTAGGTACCTAATTAGAATTCCATCGCTTCGCTCTCCTCCCTCTCGCGCTTAATCTTTGGGTCCCGCTCGTCTTTCATGAGCGCCAACACGAAGCTCCGGAAATACTCGACATAAGGCCGCAAGCTCGTCTTCTCCCAGTCTTGAAGGTTCTTCACCTTGTCTTCAGAGCCATCCTCCCCGTCATCAGTCTTCCACGTGTCGATCTCCTCTAGTAGTCCCTGCACCGTCGGCACTCCGAGCGGGTCGAAGTCCTCCAGCTTCCGCGTGTCTATCGGCACACACACTCGACCCGTGCCCGGGTGTACAACGAATGGTGATTTCAGTAAATGGTTTAGTTTCTTGCTAACCTCGATATCGAGGCGCGGGTATGTGTACTCGAGAACTATGTCTTGCTTGGCATCTAGCAGCGCTTTCGTATCAAGGTTCTTACCACCGCTCCCTGAACGGGCGAGCGAGTCGATATCAGCCCATTTCGAAGTGCTCGCACGGCCAGGCGAAGAGTCCCATTTCTTGCGTAAGCTGTCGTTTAATGCTTTATCGGGGAGCAAGGAAAGGAGATGCTCTGCCCGTTCCGGCGATGCCCATGGGTCTTGTGCCTCTAGGACGTCTTCTTGGAAATGGGGGGCTAGAATATTTAAACTCCGACTGCAGAGAAAGTGTTAGTAGATGCTCTCACTCTCACTCTCAGTATGGGTTTGAAAAAGGACAGAAGTAGACGTACCTTAGATGCGGGTGTAGTGGCCGCCATATATTAACCTTCTTCCCACTCTGCGCGCCACCACGGATTACTTCGAGATATCCCGCAATAGCCCTACGCTTCTGGTCGTCCATCGTCCGCGCCTTCTTATCGCATACCCAAGCGTGCGCGCCTCTTCGTCCTGAGTAAACCCACATGATGTGTTTGAATCCAAAGTCGTCGCGTAGGGCCACATCCACTACTTTGATAGCCATGGTGATGAACTGCCAGCAGCGATTGCATATGTTCGCCTTATCGCAGCACGTTCGGATGTCATCGTAGTCTGTTAAATCGATATCGAAGCACAGCTCTTTAGACAGCGGCTTAAACGCGTTCGAATTCCGCAACGTCTTGCGCTCACGAGGGTTTGTAGTGTATACAGGTCCGATTTCGAAACGGGACGGTAACAGACGTAGTACGTCTTTTCGAAGTCTACAGCAGACACGATGAGCCGCAGTGTAGGAGATGGAGATAAATCGATATCGAAAGCTACTCACAAGTCGGCACTAGGAAAGGAGTTATATCGCGAATATATATCATTCTGTAAAGTGAAGGCAAATTCGCGATGACCGAAATCGTTGGTAGGAGTCGGGCTATGATTAAGCCACTGGAATAAATAACGCCAAGGGAAGAATCGTTGGTAGAACATGCGCATGATCTCAGGGTCTGAAGCCTTCATAGATACGACCCTATCGCTACATTATCTGTTAACGTACGTGCTCCTCTAGTCGGGGCGATTCGATTATCTCACATGGGCGATGCTGGAGCCTCTGGGGAGCTCGAGAACTTATTTTCGGCTGGCCGTGAACTGGGGAATTCATCGTCCGAGTCTACGTCCGCAAATAGTTCATCTAGCTTGACGTCTTTTTTGTCCTCCTCCTTTACGGGAACTGGCAATGCATTTGTTTCCGCCATAGTAATATCATTGTCAGTGTCTTGACTCTCGTCAATTCCAGTAGGGGCGTCGGCCATGGTCTCTTCGGCGGTGGGATTTTGGTTATCGGTCTCAGGCGATATTGAGTGAGGCATTTCGGTAGAATTAACTTGACGACACTTTATAAATTTAATTCAACGCGGTCATTATTCCAATCAGCATTGTTGTCTAATAAGGATGGATATAAATTGATAGATGGAGGGGCAAGTTTAATTGTTTAATTGTTTAATTGAAAGATTGGGATGTAAGCGCGTTAAGACGCGTCTTCGCGTTAATCGCATAACGCGTACCAACTTATAGTGCTAACATCTAAACCCCGCCAATAGCATAGAACCTTTCCAAGCTCAAAACATCCAAACCCAGAACATTCAAGCTCAAAAACCACAATGTATATGTCACCCAAGTTATGTACCTGCTATCCCTACGGTGATAAGTTTGCAATTTTACTGTTCTATTCTCATCATGGCTCAATCTATGTTCAGAATAGAAGAACCATATATCAACTTCTTGCTATGACTACCGATAGCAGCTCGCTGCTAATCATCCCATACATATATTTCAACGCAATCCTAAATCCCTTACGAACCCCCTAGCATTGCCCCGGATGACCCTAAACCATATCCTCGTAGGATTCATGATCACCCCCAAAGCTAATGGGTTAATATTAGAGGCGGCGCGCAGTCCCAGGCCATAACCCCGTTGCTTAGTATAGCATACTGTTGGCGCCCTAAGGTATTTCAGCGTGCCGATAAAAAGAGCGTCGGTCCAGTTCACCTCACATGATATTATGATGGCATTACAATTATGTGCATCATTCATCGTCGTCATCCTCCTCGCTTTCCTCGTCGGCGTTTTCAAGCCACTCAACTAGTGCCTGGCATTTTCCCCGTACCTCCGACATCAAGCCGTCCTCCTTACCCCTATCATCTTCCCACCAACCTAGGATACCCTCTTCTTCAAGGATATCAAGATCGTACATCTGCTGCAGCATAGCAGCAAGGAGATTGCCAGTTTTAGAAACTTCAACGAATCTGGAACTACTCACGCACGCTTTCTGCACTGCTAGCGCGAATTCGACTTGTTCTGATACGGAATGATCACCAACGCCAACCTCCAAGACGAAGCTTGTAGCACCTTCTCGTGAAGTAAGCACTTGCTTAGCAGCTTTTGACGGTTCCAAAGCGTCATTCTCGGAATTTATAAGCTCAACCGCGCGACGAACAAAGGCCGTCGCAACCGCCTTCCTCATAGCGGTATCAGACGCGTTGTTGGCAAGTCGCAGTGACATGAACTCAAGTTTCTCTGATTCGAAGTTGCCCGATATCCCGCGGAGAACATCCAGCAGCCCATGAACAGCGTCCGAATGAAAAGAGGAAAATGATTGGCCTCCTGAATCATCGGAAGCGAAGGAGGAAAGTCGCGATCTCGAGGTAGGATGACTAGCACTGGGCGATATTGGGCCCAACTCATCGTCAGACAAATCATCGTCATCCGCGAGCGTCGAGATAGAAGAATCGGAGAGGTCAAGATCTTCGAGAGAGTATATAAGTGATTTTTGCAATCTCGATGGGTCATCAAGGTCCGTCTCGTCATCTTCGAAATCCTCAAAGAGTGCCCCCTTGCCACCAGAACCGACAAATTCGGGCTGTGCTGATACGAGCTGTCCACCACGAGAAAGAAGGGATAACATAGTAGCAGGCTTGACGTCCGTACCATCCCCCAAGTGTACCCCAAACGATACCAGCGCGCCTTCGTGGACGGAGGTATTCTTACCCAACACTCCTCTCTCAGCTACAATCGCATGGTCCACTATAGCCCCATCATTAACCGTAGTATCATCCCATATGAAGCTGTTGGTAATTCGAACGTTGCTACCAATTTTGCAATTCCGGCCAACGATGCTATTTTGTATAGCGCTCCCGGGCCCAACATGGGTATCCTTTCCTAGGACTGAATCGAACACTTTGCTTCCAGACTCAATTTCGACGTC